CTGCAGTTGACTGATAATCTCTAAATATTTCCATTTAATCTGGTCGACGATATCTCGCCCGTTCTTCTTTTTATCATTAAATAGAAGCGCACGATTACACGCGCGTTTTTCGGCATATTTAGTATGCATGCATACGTTTTTTTGGCACGCGTCGATTTACATTCCTCGTCGACAATTGTTCGGTACGGAGCTGGAGTACCACTGCAGCAAAGGGTTAAATAATGCAAACAAGTCGGGGGTGGGAAGAAGGAGGAAGACGCGGAGTTTCGGAGTGCTGGTGGCGTGGCGGCGGTAACTGCTACTCGCGGAAGGTGAGGAGACCTAGTTAATTACTAAAGCGTTTTAATCGCCGGCAAAGTTCCGTCTGGGCCGGAAAGGGCTTCGAGGATGCGGCGGCTGTGTAAATTAGGAACTCGCCGCTTTCCTCTTCGCGCTCGTCTTTCCCGCTTCCGCATTATGTACGCCTGGCTCTCCCGAGACGAGCGCCGGCCTAATTTCCGGCAAAAAGTCACTTTTACGTAATAGCGCGTCGCCTTGAAATTAACGTCTCTGAATTGCTCCGATTGTACTCCAGAAAGTTACTCGAGCTTTGTTAATTGCCAAGATCATTGCTTTAGAATCGAATATTTTGAGAGAGTTATTTCGAGAGCATGTTTTCGATGTAAAGAAATGTTTGATTACACGTTAAATGGAAAACAAATGTTATATAAAAATAAATTCTTACTGTTATTCTGCTATAGGTCCCATTATTATTTGTATCAAACTCGAATTCTATCAGATCTCAACATCTAATATCTGTAAAGAAATTAAATAATCTGATGGAATAAATTTATGCACATGTAAATTTTGCATACTTCTAAAGTATCCTCTTAAAAGAAAATTGTCTAATAAATTTACAACGAATGGCTGGTAGGTATTTACTACACGTTTTAAAATGCAAGTAACAAGAACATCTTTCGTTAGTTCTTGCTTCGGTTTAACTCCTCTTGTTATTTCTTTTTGGAAAAGCTTTCATTTAACTCGATTATTAAATGCCCCCTCTCTTCCTCACTTTTCCCCCAAACCCTCGCTCTCTTCTCTGCGGTTTCTGGCGCATATTTAGGGGTCGCTGGTTACAGGTTGCCTCGGCAACCACATCGAGAAACCCTCTGTCGTTGCCAAGGCAACCTTCTCCTTCGTCTTCTCACCCTCTCCTCTCTTTCTCACGAAGAGATTCAATTCGAGAGAGCGAGAACGAGTCTGAAGGAAGGGAGAAAGGGTGCTGGCTTCTGTGAAGCAAGAAGAAGGGAGGAGGAGTCCCAAAGCAGAAGAGGGAAAAAAGATGGTGCGCTTTCTGGTGATTATATTTGATGGCGCGAGCGAGGACGTGCCAAATGAAGATTTGACCTTGATTAAAGATGAACTCTCTCTCCTTCTTCAGCTCTGTCTTTTTTTTTTTGCTTGTTCCCTCTTTCTTTTATCAACGATAAAACGATACGGGATGTAGTTGATAGCAGTCCGTTACGGAACAAAAAAGGAATTAGCCAAAAGATCCAATTTATTTCTCACTGCGATAATCGTCAAAGTCACAGTTAAAATAAATTAAACGTATCTCCTATATCGATGAGGTAAACACAAAATTAATATATTTGATACAAAGCCTTTGCACTTTTTTAGGCCTAAAACACATTATTTAAACAAAATAGTATATGAATATATAAAATTATAAAAAGTTGAGATGTTCTGTCGCGATTTTTCTAGGCTCTTAGGTGTCGAGGATCTAAAATGTAAGAAAGAAAATGTGGTCGTCCACATTTCATCAATTCAAGATACACCGCAGGACTTAAAGGCGCGGATTCTCATGCGACTTTAGTATTCGCGGTTGAACCGGGCGAAGAACTTATTCATAAGATTATTCGCCATTTCCGCCCTTGCCCTCTTGTGTATGTCGTTATTTAAGTTTTATATTAAAGCACGGCGGCACGCGCGCGCGCGAGCGCAGAGCCTCCGGGTATTTGATGTATGACCCGCGCGTGTTCTGGTTCCTTCACCAAGATGCACCTAAACGTGAGATATCGTGCTCGATCAATTTTTCATGACTATATTTCACCCCTTTCAACCTCTCTCCTTTTCCTTCAACATAATCAACTTTGCGGTTTCCTATTGTCAATCGATAAGTAATTTAATTACTTGTGTAACGAAAAGTTAATTCTTACAACGTTAATTCTACACATTCTTAAGTAAAAATTTGTGTGTTTCACAAATATTTTGACTCTTGTGCAAACTTATTCATTTTCCGTCTATATAGTTTATAATTCTGGAAAAATTTCGACTATACAAATAAAGTCCAGTAAAATTATTTTGAACACTTGTTACGCAAATTCGATTAGTGTAGAGACAAAATATCGATGGTTACAGTAAATATGAAAATATATAATTATTACCAAATTATCTCGCCAATTGATTTTGTGTATGTGCAGATTATTTGAGAAAAATACGTATAAGTAAAAATTGTTTACCGATATGTTACACAACTGCGTAGAAATAAGCCTATTGGGTCGTAAACATACAAAATATTATGACATGCTAGAAAAGAATTTAGTATACCGTAAATTATTTGATTGATTAGAAATTATATAGTTGTTGAAATGAGAAGAAGGCTGAAATTTCATTTGGATATAAAACAATGAGCGTTGAAATGTATTGTCCTTTATTAGTGTTACTCTGGTAACAATATCCAGAGATGATAGATGAGTGCTGGCTCTCTCGGTTCTCGTCGACGAACGGGGAGCGAATCGCGTGCTAAATAACTTCGCTAACAAGCTGCCGCCGTCACTGTGCAAAAAAAGATTACGTAAGCGGTAATGGCCGCCGGCTCCTCCTAAATTCGAGAACGAAGTGTTCCGGTCGAGCGCGCAATCCGAGAAAGGGGGCAGAACAGGCGAGCAAGCGCGCACGGCTCAGTTGGGGTGGGGGGTTAATTTTAATTTCCCAATTTTTCCCACACCGACCCGGCGCAGGTAATTTCCTCCCCAGTAGAGAATAGATGTAATTACTTAACGCCTCCGAGCTCCTTTTATTAAAAGAGGATCGCGCCCTCGGGGGTTGGAGGGGCGGAAGAAGTTCCCGGAGTGGGGATTGCGACGGGAGTGGTGGTGCGTCGTGATCATGGGGGTGTCTCTTCCTCGTACGTTCACTCGAGACCCGAGGAGGGTTTCCTATTTCATTAATTTTATCAATAAGATATTCCATATGGAATATCATCCGTGATATCAGACAGAGAGAGAGAGAGAGAGAGAGAGAGAGAGAGAATTTCAAGATATTTTAATTTCGACATGTTGGAGAGCATTAATAATTTAATAGTTAAGTAATGATTAAAAAATTAAACACAGAAATCTTTCGGGGTGTAAATTTAATTATCTGTTTAAATTCTCGCCGCACAGTATTCTTAACGTTAAATTATCCGTTGTACTCATACACCGTTTTATACTAATTATTGAATACAATTTTTTAATTAGACTGTTAAAATTTAAATTATATACCTAGCGTATGTAGGCCGAAAAGTTAAATTTCTACTTCCAAAGCTTTCATTTGGGAGAAGAAAATGGACGAAAGGCGAGACAACAACGTTGGGCAATAAACAACCACACAATTCACTGATATATATTTTGCCTGTCCATTACGACGAATCCAACTCGGATCGAATCCGAATGCCTCGACCGATGAGATCGGCAAGGGTATCTCGTAGCGGCTGTGGGAAGGGAGGAGCCATCTTGCGGCCTGTTTCAGGGCAGCCACCAATTGATTCGCCCCCACTAGGCACCGCAGGCAGGCGTCGATTCAATTCCAGGACGAAAAAAGCGTCCGGAGGGTGGCACCGTCCGTATAATTCTCGCGCCCGCATTGGTCCGTCGTTCCGTATAACCCACGAGTTTGCCGTGGGCTCGGCCAATCGCGCGCTTCTGGGCGGTTCTTGAAACCAGTTTCAGTTTCGCGGACAGAGGGGAGTCGTTGACTCGAGTCTCGAGGCAGATAGTATTGTGCCGTTGGCTCATGCCGTAGTGGTCTCAACCAGCAGGTCCTCCTTGCTACCAAGAAAATCCCGGAGACCCGCCTGTCACGCGCACGTATTCGGGAACTGCGAGGACCCGGAAGTACATCCGGTGACGCGTCGTGGCCAAACAAGTGTCGCAAACGTGCGTAATTAGGTGTTTCGATCTCGGCGTGCGTAGAATTTTGGAGTACACCGAGAAGAATCGCTCCCGTGAATCGTGAGACCTCCAGTGACGTCACAGATCAAATATTCTATGATGGACTTTTGAAAAGACGTTCGTGGGAGATTGTCAGTTTTCAATCGATGAGTTTAGTAAGTGAAGGACAGTTATATTTGTACGTGGTGCAATCTACATTTAATATCATCGATACATAGAAGTATATAACTTAATTTGTGATACTGATCGAATTTAGTTAGAGAAAGATCATGTAAAAGTTGTGAGAACGTCGTTGAGAGCTGGCCGACGGCTCGTGAAGTTCTACCAGTCACCTGTTCGACGAGCAACTTGATGTTAGTACGTAAAAAATTATAAAATATGTAAAATATTGTTATCGGATTACGGAATTACGAGTGATTAAGACTTTTTGGACTATGGGATTGATTTATGGATCCTGAAAGTGTTCAGAAATATGTAAAATATCACATTATGAAGCAACAAGATCTCTGATCACCGTTTTTAAAAATCATCGCTTTCCGAGAAGATCAAAGATAGAGATGGATTTGAGTAATGGCCTGAAAGACTTAGAATGGAAGATACAAAAACCTGTTTGAGATTGTGAGATCAGAGTTTTCGCAAGCACGTTTTAATGGTTATTACAAGCGAGTGACTTATATAGGCAGTGATGATCTATGGACTGTATTGCTCAGTGATCATGCTTGAAAGGGCCTGAAATGGAAGACGTAAATGCGCGTTAACTGGAAGCATCTAATAGCGTCAGATATCTTCCAATCTTTCGCATCCTTGACAGGCACATGACACCTACAGTGTACTAGTGATTAGGTGACTCTTCCTCTCCTGGTGATCGGGTTTCGCTGATCCCAGGGATTGATGCGAGCGGACTGATCGCTCTCCAAGGGAGAGACAAGCGCCGGCGAATTGGTACCAAAGATGGTCCTGGAGCCTGGAGGCGGTCTGTCCTTTCCGTTGCCCCCCGGCAGCGGCTCCAGCGCCTCCGGAGGATCCTTGCTGGCCCCGACCAGGTTATTCCAAAGGACGACGCCTGTGTTTCCTTTTCACTTGGCAGGATGGCCGCCGCATCATCCGGTTTTGGGCCAGGTGCAGAGTCAGGTCCAGCAGAGCATGCAGGCCCAGCATCAGGCCGCTGCCGCCGCAGTCAGATTTCTCAGTCATCATCATCCGCATCATCCTCATCCGACGTTGAGCAATCATTCCCTGGTACCGGCGATCACTGGGCATCATCCTACTGTACATCATCTTCATCATGCTGCTGATCATGGAGAGGAAGAAGATGAAAAGAAGGGTGAGTAGAAATTTAACGATTGTACGAAGCTAATGAAAAGCTTTAACCATAATCTATCTCCTTTTTAAAAATACTCGAATTGTGTGTGCAATATTATTAAAAAATACGAAGCTAATGAAAAGCTTTAACCATAATCTATCTCCTTTTTAAAAATACTCGAATTGTGTGTTGTGTGTGCAATATTATTAAAAAGATATATGTTACTTTTCTTTCACAAACTCTTTCTACAAGACAAAACGAACATGTAAGAGACGTTGTAATTTTCAATTAGGTTCTTGTAAAAGACTTTTAGACGATGGCTTGCTCCACTTTTATAAAGAAAAGAGTATAATATCCTTTAAAATATTTTCTTCCCCTTCAGAAATTTGTGTTCTATAAAAGATTCATAGTTATGAAATTAATAGATTATACTTGTTCGAATTAGTAATCTACTTTAGAGTATTTCTCCATGATTGCTCGTTGAAGTATGTTGATGGTGGCGGTGTTTCCGAAATAGCTTTTGAAAAACGGTCTTCAGGGAGTGGCGTAACGCGGTCAATCATAAGATCGTTCCTGACGAGCCCCTGGGATCGCTTACGACGTTAGTCCCTATCCCCTTTTCCCGCCCTTCCTGGCGACCGCTCGTCTGAAATCGTGTTTCGTGCGCGAGAATGTCCGCGTTGCTGAGGGTGGAAATCTGTTTTTTACGTGATCCCATTCACGTCCCTAACACTTGTTTATGCTTCGAAGGGAGCGCCACTTAATTCGCTTGCCTTTGACTTTCGATTGTTTTCGCCGCTGTGAATTTATCGCGCGCTACCGCGAATTTCCCTAAATATTATTGGTCTTTTAATAAACAAAGTTCAAATTGGTTATAACGCAAGATATCGAGCAATTAAAATATTCCCAAGTTTATAACATTTTTTAATGTTTACTAATTTCACATGTGAGATATACAAGTATTTTAAAAAAGTAATAATATTTTTTGTTGTATAATAGAACTATAATATAGGTATATGATCACTAGAAGCTGCGCGGTATCAAAATTAGAAAAGTTTGAGGAATTGATTAAAATAGAGATTCTGAAAAATATTTCGTTTAAAAAAGATGATAATCGATAAATAATAAAAAATTGTATTGAGGCAATTTCAACTAGCGTTAAATTTCTGTGTCTCTTTACAGAAATTCAATTTAATTAAGCTCAACACTATCACGATATTTAATTAAATTTAACTGTCAAAATATTCAAAAATATTTAAAAAAAGTATTTATTATGTAGCTTAAGAACCGCTCTGAGTGACTGTTCAAATGATTGTGTAAAATTTTTTTATCGGTAGATAACAAAATGTTATATTAAGATAATTGCAACTGGCATGTGCGCTTGATAGAAATTTAATTTAATTAAACCTAATCGTCGAGATTGATTAAAAATGTGATACAATGGGAAATTTTTTTTAAGTATCGAATAAATTTAAATTTGTAGAAAGATTTGTGGCTATGCACAGAGACGTTTATTGATGTCTGGAGTATTTTTATATTTTCGTACAACTTTCTAACGAATATAAATGATATCTTTGTTGGTTTGGATAAGAAAAATTGTGCTTATTATCAGACCGGCGTTCTTGTTCAGTAATTTCATAGTTCTTCTCCAACGGCATGCCGCGCCGCGTCGGATAACACACTTGGCGGTTTCGCCGGTTCCGCAAAAGTATGCGGCGCGGCGGTTAGATTCGTTATAATTGCATAATGATTTCTACGTCGAGGAGAAGCATTTCGTTCATGAACGTCAGTCGTGCACGCGAGCGTGTATCAGATCGACCCGCCGGTTATTTCGGGATTTATGAAAGCTCCCATCCTCTCTTCGTCATGATAAATAGTTTTATTGGTAACGGCAGGAACGCGCGTAATTGCAAGTCTGCTCTGATCGAACATCGTCCACCGAACGTCCTTTATAGCGTCACGTCGTAGCATGAGCTAAGTTTATTTTCACGTTTAATACCTTTCCTTTATGTCAGACTAGATTCGCCTAACGATCCCACGATCGCTCGCGCGATTTTTCTGCTGTGAAAAATGTCATTGATGTTAAAAGGTTTCGAAAGAATCATACTCTGTTTAAAATGAAATGTTAATTTTAACTTAAAAACGTTTAGTGGACTTTCTCACGGACGTGCAAAAATGTTGAAGCTGACTTTATTTTTAACAGTGTATACAACTTACTTTAAATGGAATGTCACACAAATGCAGAAATGTAATTTAACACAGAAATTTAATTAAACTTAATCGTCAAAATATTCGATTACATTACTACAGATAAAATTCAGTATCTAGGATATTTTGATTTTTTAACAAATTCTTAAGGATAAAAGGATTCTCGAATTTTTAGTAAATTATGTGCTGTAAATCTAAAGTCATGTACTTGTTAGTGATTAAGTTTCTCTCCTTAGGATCAGTTTAAAAACTTTGGCAAATTTCTGAGACGTCTATGGCCATTTGGAAGTGTAAGTTTTGAAAACTGCAGATTTTTCTAGTTTTCGACTTGGGAATAAATTCGCTTCTTTGAAATGAGAATCGAGCGCCAAATCGACGTAAATGAAGTTGCCGAGCGAAATCGCAAGGCTCGGCATGCTCCAATTCGTGTCCCTCGCAATTGAGCGTATTATGCTTGGACATTTAATTATACCGATTCCTAATGAAACGTTTGCGCGCGGCGTGTCGCGATTTTATCCCGATCGATGTCGCCAGGCGATAGGCGATAGGCGATAGGCGTTTGTGTATGTATAAGGGATCGCGAATAAGGAGTCTCCCCTTCTTCTTCTCCGCGTCCCCTTATAGCTTCGCGAAATTCTCGTTTACATAATTAGCTCGACGGCGGAATGCTCGTGTTGGACTCACGCGCGTACGCCTCTATACACTGTACGATCGTGAAACTTTTTCGACGTTAGCGCGATCGTTAAGTTGAGAGCGCTTAGCGTCGCCGCGAAATTGCGTCCCGTCGGCGCTCGCGGCGCGGCGGCTCCCAACGGCTTACAAAGCTGCCACATGCTGTGCAATCCCGTCGTCGTGAATTAAGATTCAGACGTCGAGGCTAGATCGGCTGGATTAAAACGTGTCGTTTTACGTGTTAACCTGATAGCGATATCGCCATCGACGACGGTCGGGCCGCTGTCAGTGGCGTGCGAAGCGGAATGAGAGGCGTCCTGTCGTTGCTTTACAGATTCTCTATGACGCTCCACATCAGGTGCTTTTACTTCTCGTTTCTTTATCCATTCTTTAAGCAGATTGCTTTTTTCCCCTGTAAAACTTTTCAAACGCAAACCCCTTTCACGTAAATTGCCAATGAACGAATAATTCGGAATCATTATTATAATCTAGAGAATTATGTAGAAAAGAACAAATAGGAACTGGCACCAAGATTCTAAACGTTGATCTTAATTAATCATCTGACGCAATTCGAATTTTAAATCTATCTTCTAAATTGATATTTGAGAGACATGCATTTACAAAGATATTTTTTACTCCGTCTTTGTATCTTCCTTTATTTCCATTTCTTTGTCTTCAATTTTTGTTAATCAATTGGTTCATGTAATTTTTCGATAAAGCTTATCACGTCTTACGTATAAATGTTATTCATTTCTCATTCTGCATTTATCTGCGGATTTCCAACTTACTGACTCGTCGATTAATCTAAGTTCATGCCCGCTCGCTTTCATTCGTATTGTATCTCGACCTGTTCAAATTCAAGTTAACGCGATTCAAATCAGCGACAGATGGAGAACGTGCATAAGCGTTGAACCTCGCGGTGTCTCAGTATCTGCCTAATGACCTTTCAGAAAGCCTTATTTGCGCCGGGAACAACGACTTTTTCGTATCACACGTGATATTTGAGAGATATGATTTTCCGGAGATATTTTCGCTCCATCTCGCCTCTCTTATCAACTTATACATCGTATCCAGTAATCGCGCATAGATCATATCGTACAAGACGTGACTATAAATAGACAGACGCACCTTACGGACGCGTTGAAGCAAAGCAAAAAGGGAGTTATACATAAACATTAGTCATATTGGTAGGTTCTTGATTATGATCTTTCAAAGCAGGAAGTATTTATGAACCATAACTTACGTAGTTGTATTACATCAGTGATATTAGTTCTGAAAATATTGTATTTTCATTGCCGCTTTAAGCATTGTAGTTTCGCACATGTCGGTACATTGTAACAGGTGTTAGCATTGTGCTTTCCGTTTGCAAAATGACGCCTCCTTAAAACATAGCTCTTCGCACCTCGACAGGCACCTCTCTTATTGATGAGAGATGAGATTAAATTAAGAGTCCTACACAGATCGCAAAATATAATTGGCGTATCGCTTTTAAATTAACCGTTTCCATTCTATAACGCATATTTATGTGACTATCGGCATGTATCAGGTCCGACGATCCATTAGGGCTATTTCGTCCTTTTAAATTGGGCGATCAAATTAAGATTCTCTTCGAAATTACTCCTTCCGGAAAAAGAATTGTTTAAATAGTAATAGACTCGCGCCTTCTCTCGTCAATTCAAGAACTGTAAGCTACCCTAATGATTACAGCGAATAAAATAACAGTGTCCATCATCGAAAGAAATGTAATACACTCGGGAGGGATGCAGGTGAGACCAAACGAGCCAGGCTCCTTTGATAAGTGCGGTCGCGTAGTCTAGCATCCTGTCATTATTTTACGATTAGACTGAAGGAGGAGGCATTAGGGCAGTTGACAAAAAAGGGCGACCGCTCTTCACAAAGACAGAGTAAAGAAGGAGGAAGAGGTACAGAAAGAAAAGAAGAGAAGGGAAAAGACAGAGAGAAAGTTCATAAGACTTAAAGAACAATTCGTGCATCAAAGAGTCGAAACAAAACGGAAATCAAACACCATGCAGTAGAGATTTAAAAGAAAGGTAGCATTTGGGGCACCTCAGCAAAATGTGTACCCAATGTGAGCCGCGTATGTGTCTTCCCTTTTACGAAAATATTAAAAATACGGAAAGTAAAATGATCCAACGTGTTACTTTTAAGTTTATAATTTCATTACATAAACATATTGATGTGTCAACATTTACGATTAGCAACTTAAACATTGAATACTCGTGTTAACTTTCTCCTTCTTAAAATTATGCTAATGGATCTACTCGCAGTTCGGACAAGTAAAAGGTCCTTTACCATTTTTAATTAATCCCATACATCTTTGTGAACATATTTGTGACAAATGCCACACTTACGCATGTGTTCAGACAAGGTTCACATTGAGAGAGAGAGAGAGAGAGAGAGAGAGAGAGAGAGATATCACAATGAAAAGTTCCTTTTCTTTAATTATAAACAAAACGTTGTGACAAAAGTATAAACTAAATATAGTGTTATAAAATATGAATATAGAGCTGCAAAATAACGGAAATTAATAACCGCGTTTATAGTAATTTAATAATAAATTCATAATTACAGAAAGCAATTACTTACGGAATATTACATCACGACTACAACGTGTCAGTTTTTCCTGTTTTTACACAAACATAATGAATAATATGATTTATGAATCGATGCAATCGAGTCGTACGGATCGCCTGCTACTAACTTACGAATTACTACTGTCATGAGAGAGTTAAATTAATCATATAATTATATACAAACAGCGAGTGGCCCACTTTGGGAAAAAAAACGATCCAAATTGAACCTGGTAACCTTAAATTCAATATTAAAAAGACACTCATTTCAATATTTAACAATGCAACGTTTCGGTGACGTTTTTCAATGTTTTTTTTTAAATAGGACAAATTTGAACCAAAGCGTAGGATGTTGAAACGAAAACTGTATTCACTGAGCGTTGAAAGCAATAATGCAACAATATATGTAATTTTTTACAGATGCAAGTTCTAATCAGACGCTTCTTATTAGACATTTCACGATAGATTGAAAATATGGTCTAACGATAAAATATAAAATCGAAACGTTCCTGTAATTCGCTTTATGGGTCTGATATACAATTTTTGTTCCAACATCCTGCGCTATGCAGAGAAAGTTTAATTGGCCGAAGGACGGGGAAGTTTAAAGGTAGCACTTTAGCGCACAAAACCACCTGGATTTACCGCAGTTTCTCATGGATATCGTCTGTCTCCTTCTCTCTTTCTATCCGCAGAAAAATGGCGGAATAATTCGCGAGGTGTTGACTCGAGAGTATATAATACAAATCTTAAACGTGGAGCCTCTCCATAAACGGCGTTAACCACATATCGCTGTTATTTCCCATAATAACGAGACGAGCCCTCGCCTCGATTTTGGCGTTTGCGTGTACAAGCATAATAATAAAAAACATTAATCGCACGGTTAACATTGCAATCACCGTCAAAACGATAGGCACCCGTATTTGAATAGCAATGCCTAATTATGAAAAATGACACACATTTTATCGCTTTCTCACGCTCGTATAAATTACAAAATTGAACTGGTTCCAGCATTGCGCTACCGCGATAACGACATATAATTCTATGCGAGATACCGACACGTGATTATAAAAATTGTTACCTATCGGGAATATGTCGGAAATTGTTAACACTCGAGACACGAGTTATACGCATTGTAACGTCAGGTTGTTGCCGGCGTCGCCATTATTGTTGCAATAACGATTTTATTAGAACTACTGACACGCGATTGCAAAAATTGATGTGATCGCATATAACAGAATAATGTTATCGGATATCTTCGCAGCAAACGCTGTCGGATTACAATCCATCGTTACGTCGAATATTCGTCATTGTTATTATTGTTGTGTTTCACACAACGTAAACGCATCGTTATGAAAATGTCTGGTTATAATAAATTTAATCAGTACATAAAATTGTGCTTGCGCGCGCGCATCATGTCATCGATTCGCGTCGGGTGTTGGTTAATACGATAGTTCAAAGTCGCGGGTTATGTGCTTTTTGCGTTAGAAATTATCGCTGCTGGGATGAGTGCAAATTGCGAGTAATGTGGAAAATTTTACTGGCACGTAACGACAAACGCAGGTCATTAGCGAAGCCGCTTATTAACCGGCTTCGTTTGAAATGGTATCCGAAAGATCATTTGCCCCGCTCATAGAATCGAGAGAAGAATAGTCGAGAACGTTTAAAATCGTATCCTTCTCTTACATGGATGGATTGAAAAGTTTCCGGAATTGTCATGAGGGTGGTTTTTTTAAATATATTTTTATATCGTTGTATTGTCAATTCACTTTCATACGAATTGACTGCAAAGTGCAAACGTCAAATCAACCTGTTAAAATCATCTTCTTTGTATTGTTACGATTTTTTTTAAACCACCCTTTTTGGGTTGTGATGATTTTGACGATTTTTTGTGCGATAGAGTGATATTTACTTAACTCATTCATTGTAATAACAGGAACACCACGTTTTTTTTTTACTTGTGTTAATTTTAAAATAAGGGAGTCACGTATCATTATCTATATTTGATCAGATTTGTAAACACAGGTAAAATATTCAGGTGTCTTGATAAAAAATCTGTAACTAATATTTATCTCTTTATCTCCTGGGTCTTTGAGAAAGGAATACTTTGCGGTATTGCAAAAAACTCTTGAATGTGAAGGAACTTTTTCAGCGTAGCAGCAAAGATGTCACTACACGTGAAGGAATGGCTGAGCCTCGTGAAGACTTTGCGAATCGCCATATAGGATACCTCTTGGAGGGGCCCCGGACTTACGAAGCTCCGCGGTAAGGCAAAGCTTGCAGGCCGGAGCAGGACGTAGAAAAGCTCGCGCGCACATCGCGGCATCCGCTGCGCACGGTCTGGTCGCGGAGAAAACAGGCAGGCAAAACGCGCGCACGGGGCTCCGGGTAATAACTTAATTTAAACTAAACTACAGTTTAATAATTCTCCCGGCCTGGGTCGGCCGTGGAAGATGCGCCGGCAACCAGCAATTTCAGAGCCGCCGTTAACTGCCGGTCGTTAGTCCCTTTTCAAAACTCCTCTCTTTCTTCCTCCCCGTCCGCGTCCCCGCGCCGCCTTGCCCTACCTCGCGGGCTCCCTCGCCACCCTCTCTGCGCCCTCGCCCTCGCTTTCTTCGCCCCTCGCACCCTCGCACCCTCGCGCGAGGCCCGAGCTCGGAGCTACCAACGTTCGGTCACGAGCTAATTTTCGAGCGTGGCTTGCGTGTCGTGAATATCGCCACGGGCCCTCAGAAATACTCGCGCGGCTCGGCTCGGCGCGGCGCGGCGCGGCGCGACCGACAAATTGAATCGTCCTCGTCTTTCTGCCTCTGGGCAAGTGGGCACTGCTTGCCGAAATACCGGATCCTGCGTGATCCGCCAATCCTCGCCAATAGATTTCACGAAGGCACCGAGTGATAATGTTTCATAATAACGCTTGATTCCCAGGTAACAATGCAAATCGATACAAAAATCTTTCAAACATTGTACCTTAATTAAGGAACAAAATTGTAAATTATATGTTTCATTGTTTAAACATATCTGATATAGCGTACAAAACATATGATCGGAACTGAAAAAGGACTATATTTCCTTTACTGAGGGATATCGAATTTGATATAAATATAGTTGTGTGAAATTACACACATCAAATTCCACATTCCTCAGCAAAGGAAATAAGTCTTTAGTTTTTAGATTTGATCGCATATTTTGTGCGCTAACGTATTAAATTCGTTATAATAAAAGATATAATTTACGATTTGGTTTCTTAATTATATTACAATGCTCAAAAGATTTTTAGTTGATTTTCGTGAACTGGAAGTTAAATACAGATATAATTTAAATTTTGAACGTTTAAGCTTATGTTTTTACATATAAAATAAATCTTTACCTTACATCAAAAGTAACACAACTAAAAAAATTAAATCTTTAGAAAAAAGAGAAACCATTTTTTAACTTAAAAGAAAACTATTAACTTGTCAAATAATATTTGCAAAAAAAATATAGAGGAGACCGGGGTCAGTTGACTATAGGAGTAAATAGAATAATCGAGGCTACATTAAAAACAAAACACGCGTAACATCTTGTTGCGAACACATCTAAGATAGAAGTTATACCACGATTTAAAAAAATCGTACACCTAAATAAATATTTTTATTCTTAAAGTTTTTGTTTTACAATCGTATATGATTGTCTCAGATATTTGATTTCTGCTTAGATAGCAAGTGCAGTTCTTACTTAATAAAGTCTAACAGATTTTTTTTGTTTATGTGTCTTTGTTATCGTATATTGTTAATGTTTTTAAAAAATGAACGGATGGGAATAGTAGACTAATCACAGCATGGAACTGTATGACTCATTTAGTGACGACTCTTATAGTACTTAGTCAAAATTGTATTCTTTTAAAGAGATTTATCTCAGTGGTAAATATTATAAGTTTAGTTCCCTCATGTCCAATCTCGAAAACTAGACTCATTCAACGTGTTTTTGCACGGAATGAACAAATTTTGCAAAAAGAAGCATTGTTTTGCCCTGCGAAGCGAATGTTTGTGTTTAAAATATATTTTTATCAAAGTTTTATTAATACGTAGCCAAAGATGTAGCTTAAAATACATTAATCTTTATTTTAATAATCTTAGTCGAATTACCCTGGTCCCGAGGTTAGTTGAATCAGATGGAATGCATTAGAAAAATGCATTTTTTTCATATTAGTTATCAGTTTCCCCTTATTATTAAAATATTATTAGGTAGTCAAATGTATGTAGTAACTGTGTAGAATTCATTTTTTTCGATAAGTCTCTTAATTTCGTCTGTAAAAATTCGAAACTGAAAAATGAGTCTATCAGCTCCTCCCTATACTCTTAAAAGCATGATCAAATATAGTTTTGTCATTTCCACAACTTTTGAAAAACTATCTTTGAGTCGTGTAATGATTTGGGAGTATAGAGAAACGATACAATTGATTATTTTATACTATTCATCTTTATACAATACAGTCTCCTATTATTTACAAAAACAGATTAACATATTTTAAAATGCTTCTTTATTTAGTTACTCAAATGTTTATAATAGGATTGTTAACCAGGATGTTAAACAGGATTATTACGTCATTTAAGAACGTTGATAACGCAACAATTCATCAGAGTTAAACGCCTGCGCGTTTAGACTCGGGATCCTCATGATCCTTCTATCTTACAATCTTTGATATCGTCGATATACCGTCCGCAAAGAATCACGCGACTATAAGCCAACCAAGCAGCCAGGCGTTTACGAAGCGCCGTGTCTGCAAGATTTCTTATCGTCAGTTTTCTTCGCGGCCAGAAAGAGAGAGAGAGAAAGAGAGAGAGAGAGAGAGGGAGAGAGGAGGGGGAAACATTAATTAAATAGTTTGAGTTATAATGGAGAATAGGTGGGGTGTAACGGGGTACAGTGGACGTACATATATAGTGGGAAGATACGGCTGACAGACTATAAATACGTCATATTTATATGCCCCGCTAATTGTCTTTGACGATAAGAATCTCTCTTTTATTACTTTCTGAGTTATTTCGCCAATTTCGCTTCCTGGCCCCAGACTGGCTTGTCTCAATGTCTTATAAATGCGATCTCCAGTCTGCAAACTGCTAAAACCTTGCTTCGATTCTTATTTCGGGTGGGCACGATTCTCACCTTGTAAATTTGTGTAAAGCATTATTTATACGAATTTATGAAAGCTGAGGGAATTACGATTGTGTTATTTTTTAACAAGCAAATTTATAATACACACAAATAATAATAACAGCTAAAGCTCAGTAAAATATACATTGAAGAAAACAGATATATCGAATAATTTGATAAACACTTGGAGATGTTGAGAGATTTTTATTTTTTTTTTCTAAAATAATTTTTATGTCATTTTATCTTTAAAAAAATATATACATACAACACGTATAGATAAGTATATACATACAATTTCGCAAATTCGTTGAATTTTTTCAAATACCCACAATTTCTCGTCGACCGAGCTAATTGTTCGTCGTAAATTAAGACGCTCGCGTAAGATCGCTCATAATTACAAGGAAATAAGGGGAGCGTTTATCAGCCGACGAGTGAATTTTTCATCGCGACGACCTGCCGCGACAAAAATGAATGAACGTCGGCGGACGCGGCATATCAATGATATATCTCATCTGGAATTATTTCAAATAAATTAACTCGTCCGTTGTACGTCGGCCACAATGCCCTCCACCTCTTAGTGCGATCTCGTTCTTCTTCGGAATTAACCCTTCCCGCGATGCTGCGTGGCCCTTAATGTCTTCGCTTGGGGAACATAAACGGTGGGATGATTTGTGAAGCGAAACGCCGCAGTGGAGAACGGTAGCTAAACAGCACGATGTAACACAAATTCGCTTACGTTGATCGTTTAATGTTTCTTGCGTAATTTACTGACGCCGATGGCGTAGAAGCTGCTGCATTCTTGATACGTGGACATAAAAAAAAAGTATGACTGTTGATGTAACTTTATTGTACGGAGAATGGCATTTCACTTTATTTTTTAAGTAAAGGTCAAGAGGTATTTTTTACGATATAAAATGGTTGTTACTGAGAATTTTTTATTACAAAGAAATTAAATTTTAGTTGACAGCGGAATGTAAATAAGCCATCGGTTTCTAAATAGTTCCAAGTTCGAATTTTTATTCCCACTCGATATTTATAATTTTCTACAAAATGATACATTCCGAAAATTTCATAATGCAGTCAGAGAAAAAATGTGATGGCAATTATAAAGATAACAATAATACTAGTTGATATGAAAAATTAATATATAGTTATTACAATTTAATTATGTTTTTTTTCGGACTGTGAATTATGAAATACACCGTTTTATTCGTGACGATGCACGGTAACACTTTCAGCTATAATTTCGGAATTTGGTAGTCGACGAACGCTACCATCCTCAATTAGGGAAACGAGCGAGCGAGACGCCGTAAAAAATAACCCTTCGGTGAATTTGAATTTATCGCGCGAGGCACGCCTACATCTGCATCGGATAATACAACCGCGGGGCTGCCGTTTGCATTCGATTAATCGACGGTACCGCGTGATAAATCCGCGTTTTTACGCGTGTGCCTCGTGAAAATTAACATTTTCAGCAGCTTGCTACATTCTATTACACGCTACCGTCCACCATCGAAATTAACGGCGGTCACTAATATGCCGTAAGTGATAATGGAAAGTTGCTAAGTCGTTTTACATCGTGTCAAAAGAACTCATGACTCACGACCTGACGTCTTCAATGCGGCGTTGTTCCCGGTGGATTCTGTTTGCGAGGATCTCGCCAACTGAACAGGGAATACCATTTTTATTTCCATGAATATCTGCCGCATAGCTGCGAGCATCGTACGTGTTTCCACAACTTGTACTTGAACTGAAATTCATAGAGAATATCTATAAATTTATCACAGATGAAAGTAACAAGTATACTTATATATTAAAGATTAATCAAATATTTTTTATTTATTTTATATTATTTGTTACACTGAGCAATAATTTTTAATTAACATTTTGTTTTCTTCAGTAGGAAATAAGCGTTGCTTGTATAGCTTTTTATACTGAAAAGAGATTGATATTTTTTCAAAAAATTCCATTACTCATCATTTTTAGAAATTTGGCTTGGAATTTTTTATGCAATAACGTACATTTGTACTTTACTTACAGTACTATACTTAGAGTATTATACTTGGAAATTCCGGGTTCGATCCCCGGCAGAACTGAAAATTTTCGTACGTTCGTAGCTCCTTTCGGAAGGCAATGGCAAACCAGCGAGTAGTATACTTGCTCAAGAAATCTCCCTATCAAAAATTGTTGTTTGGAATCGACGTTTAAACTGTAGGTTCCCATATACCGTCTGTAAGATTAGTATGCGAGCAAAGGTATATAAAAGGGAGGCGCCTACTGTAGGTATAACATAATGTATTACATACATTATTTCTTCAAGTGTTATACGTTGGTGCGAGGGGGTAACCACTCTTGAATTCCAGTGTACACTCTGTCAGAAGTCGGATGAAGTTCGGTGAAGTCCGGTGAAGTCCGATAAAGTCCAATAAATTCCAGTGAAGTCCGATGAATTCCGGTGAAGTACGATGAATTCCGATGAAGTCAGATGAATTCCGGTGAAGTCCGATGAAATTCAGCGAAGTCTGATGAATTCATGAATTCCGATGAAGCCCGATAAATTCCGGTGAAATCCGATGAATTCCGGTGAAATCCGATGAATTCCGATGAAGTCCGATAAATTCATGAATTCCGATGAAGTCCAATGAATTCCAGTGAAGTCCGATGAAGTCTTGAAGTCTGAAATCCAGGTGTACACCTATTTTTTGAGTGGTTACCCCCTCGCATTGGTGACAGCGTATGGTAATAACTTTGTAAATCGATTGATGTTATTCATATACATAATTACATATGTATCTTTTTAATAATAACACTTATATAAGAAATGATATAGATAATATTATTTATTGATATTATAAAATCACGGAAAAAAATACAGCTGAGAACTTTATCGATTCAGCAAATCTACAGTTGTAATATACAAACAGTCAATTTTCTATATTAAAGTAGCAAAGTTGACAGTTGAGTAATATATTAGCGATTTGCTAAACCATCAAATCTTCTTAGTTGTAGAGGTTAAATTCGCGCAGTAAGTTATAGGTTTGCTGTACCACCCAATTAATTTTTTTCCATGATTGTTTGTACGAATTATATTTTTAATAAATCTACTTGTAATAATTTTATTTAAGATTATCGGGCATCAAAATCTTTAAACCTGTTTGACCTGGTTGATCAGAAAATGTAAAAATTCTACAAAATTGTACCTTATTATTAATTATATCTTATTGGTAACTAAATAAAAGTTGACATAAATAAATGTAATATATTGTATATATAATTATCTCTTAAATCCTCTTAAATACATAATATCTAATAAATTTTATCATTTACGACTGATAATGCACGGTGCCGATCGGTCATTTAAAACAATCGACTCGCCGGTCGGAATCTCACGCGACGACGGGGGATATAATATTATCGCCCGGCAAATGACACGCCATGGGGTAGCAAATAGCAATCCGTGGCTAGTAGTTAGGGTGGTGTAAGACTACGCGCCGAGGTCCGACACGCAATTTCTCCTTTTTAAGCCAGACATAGTCGGCCGCTCGAGAACACCCGTAATGCAGTGCACGCGGAATCGTACAATATTGACTTTCCGCACTCGGTTCGTGCATTACGCTAATAATAATTGGGATAGGCCGTACAATGTATCCCTCGCGTTGATATCTCAATTTACCTATATGGATCGGGGCAATTAAATACACACTGAGAGAAAAAAAATAGTTATGGCAACTATAAAGTACAACTCTAAAATTTAAATATTCGTAACTAGTTTTAAAAAGTAATACGAACTAAAGTAGTACCGAATACTATAAAAATATAGTATTCAGTACTACTCTAGTTCTTATTACTCTGCAAAACTAGTTGCAAGTACTTAAAGTATTAGAGTTGTTCATTTAGTAGTTGTCAAAACTATATTTTTCTCTGTGAGTGCAGATATATTATACAATTCATCTCTTTTTCTTCTACGGTTTTGTGACACTGAAGCCACACAAAAAAAAAATAAAAATAAAGCATAAGCAATAAGCGAACCGGCCAATCACAGTAGAGAACCACTTTACGTTTTTTATTGCGATTGGTCGAGTCGCTTAAGTCTTTTTATTGCTTTACGTTCCTTTATGTGTTTTTATCTTGAAAGGCTAGTTTAAAGCGGTATTCACAATAGAGTAGTAAGCCTCAAGCCTTAAGAAATTGATCAATCACAGTCAATTATTCTTCTCACATTCGATTGTGATTGGTCAATTTCTTATGGCTTAAGGCTTACTATTCTGTTGTAAACACCGCGCAATCTTCAATGTAAATAACGTTTTGTAAATAATGAAAATTCCGAAGGAGCGTGCTAAATGAGAGCATTAAACCGAGTTCAGGCTCTGAAAGGAAATGATGACTCTTCTCGCATAAACAAACCAACTTTTTTTTCCACCGAAGCTTCGAGCACGATCTTTAAGGCAATTTTAGTTTTGAAGAACTGTCTAAGAGTCCCGCGCTATATTTTTTCGCCTCCGGTATAATCTTTCTAATTGACACGTTAAATAAACACGACAGGTAATTAGTTTGCAAGCGGCGGAGGGGAGGGCGCGAAATAAAAAAGGTGCCGCCGCGAAATAAACACAAACTCGCAATTACATCTCGCGTCGCAGAAACAAGTTCAGGACTCGTGGACGCGTGGGATTTAAATGCGGGTATTTATTACCGGCTGGTTAAATTCCCAGTATTTACCGGGAATTAAGAGATACGCCGGCCGGCGCGGCCATATATTTCCCGCTTGTCGCCACACGTATGCGCGTGTTCCAGTGCCGTTTGCTCTCCCGTTGCCAAGTTTTTCGACACCTTCGAAAAGCCCTATCAAGCGGAACGATCGCGTCTAATCGTATTTATGATTAGATCTTACTCACAAATTGAATGGCTAACTATTCATGATTTAATTACGACAGTCAATGTTGCTTTTCTGCGCGCGTAGAGGACTTCAATCGCTTCTTAAAGTTGCTTCTCCATTAATATTTCATTACTTCCTTCGCCACGAACGCGGCATTAAAATTACGTTAATTTAATAATAATTGCATGGTATTCATGCACAGTTTAATTACCATAGTATATGATAGAGGAAGAGAGGGGGCAATACCTTTCTGTTTCATTGAAATAATTCAGTATACATTCATGTGACATAACTACTTTACTACCATTTTGTTAGTTATATAGTAATACCAATCATGCTATAGGTAGAGGTTCTTTGGATATACAGAACGAACGTAATTTATAAAAAACTGAAGAGGGAAAAAGGCTATGAATATGAAGGGGGGTATGGAATACCACCAATTAGCATATAACTTATTTACACATTCCGTTACCAAATTTAGTTCAATTATGTCATTTGAAAGCCCACATTCAAGGCCTCCGAATTAGACTGAAGTTACAAAATTAATATCAATATACTTTTCAAAATTACGTAGAGTACCTTTCAAACTGTCTGCTAAAAAAACTGTCTTGCAAAACTGAAATGCAGCTTTTACGACAACGGCAGTAAACGCTAATGATGAGTCGTCATGTTATAATGCCTAAAAAGACTGTGAAGAAGTAATTTTGGCTTCTCTATGTAAATCAAGTTTAAACAAAAATGTTTAAACAAATTTACCTAAAAAAATTATGAGACTTAAGTCCTATACTCCAATGTAATTTGCAAGTGATTAACGAATAATTTTAATAAATTATACATTCAAGATTATCGAAATATTCATTTATGTATAAAACAAGAATAATTGAATGTTCTATGCTTTTGCGTTACGAAAGTACATCTCATTGATGAGAATCGATCCACCCCATCGTGATCTAGAGCCAATAAAGCCTTCCGAACGTCACTTGCGATCGTCCCTTCCCGTCGATCAGAAAGCCAGCCAGCCAGCTCAGTCAGGACTCTCCACCTCTTGATGTCAGTTATACATGACTAAGAATAGCACGAGAAGGTGTATTAATATTATATATAATTAACCGGCCTGATTGTAGATCTTATCAGAAAAGCTACTTTATCGATCGATACGCCGGCTACCCGTATTATGAGAAGAAGCTGCGCTTTTTTACGTAGCTTATTCTTGATAGTCTCTTCACTTCTCTTCGTTTTTGTCCTTTTCCTTATGTTTGCGGCTTGTCATCAAAACTCACACGGTTTCGACGTGTTCCACAGTCATGTGTCGTTGACCAGAGCTATTATGATCCAATTTTGCGGGCCACATGGATATCCACGAGGATGTAGATCTGGACGATCCAGTAATACGTAAATCCAAGCAACCAGAGAGTCAAAACGGACACTGTCCTTTTGAGAATGATAATCCCAGATAGTTGAGCCTGATCGTTGACTCGGATAAAAATAAACAAGCTGCATACGGTCAGACATCATCGGACGTCGTCCACCTTAATTTATATCTGCATTGATTATATTTGATCACGCGTATAATTAAATGCACGTTACGTAACGTGGCGAAGGTTCCTCGAGGCTCATTTCCATCGATCCTTTTCGGCGTTCACCCGCCGGTTCCCGTCTCATCTTAATTAGGTCCTCGCTCTTCAGACATCGCATAATCAAGACGATCATTTGCATAGACTTGCAAACAGGATTTAATATCTCAGACTTTTGCCGCAGGATTAATGCGTGCATAATCGCGTCGCGCTACAATTACGCAAGTTGAAGTAAACCTGAGAGAGAGAGAGAGAGAGAGAGAGATGTATGGAGCGTTTTTTCTATTTAAAAATTATCTATCAATTATCTAGTTCTGTATCTTTATACAGTTTATCGAAGAAACGGATCCAATACAAATATTTTACAATACATCATCAAAATGAAAAATGTATCGGTCTCTGCAAAAAGTGACTAAAATTATACTTAAAAATGAATGTTATACAAATGAAGTAGTTTAATAAAAAAAAAAAATCAATATTTATATTTAAGAATACAAAATTTTATGATTTAAATGAAAATTTTTTATCTTAATTATTTTTTAAGAACATGTCTACCATCTTATTATAATACTTTTTTTTTACTAAATCGCTTTCAAACTTTTTGTATTATTATCAAATACTTATACAAAAAATACAGAAAAATCTAGAAACTTTTATATATTTTTGCTTCGTTCAAAACAAAGAATAGAGTATACGGAGAATTGGATCACAAAGCGAATTGTATTAATGAAAATTTTGAGACACTTAAGCCGGCGACACACGATACTCGTTTTCGTACTAGATTGCTAGCTGGATTAGAATCTTGCTACCGTATTGGCTGCGGTAGTGCTCGACTGTCGAATATGTGTCAAGTATCATTCTGACCCATATGCTGCAAAATTCACCGTTTGGCTCGCTTCGTCTTCGCCATTGCCGCAAAACGGTAATCGTTAAACAACAACAACAACACCCCCTTTCTCTGCCGTCTTCCAAGCATTTTGTGGATCTTCATTTCGCACCTCGCGAGTCAGGTATGATGTTAGGAGTCGTTCTTGGAGCAAGTCGAAAGCCTCCTTTTCCCTCCACGCAGTTCTGGGCAGGCAGGGGAAAGAGGAGAATGTAACCGGGCGTCAGGAGGATTGATGGCGTCTAGATGCAAATGCAGTCGGTCTGGCACGCAAGCAACGTATCCACCTACCGACGCCTTATGCCAGTTAACGCCTTACAGCTTAATAATCTTGTTCTCTCTCCTTCTCTCTCTCCCTCTTCTTCGCCATCCGTGTCCTTTATCACACTCGCGCGCCAGACTAAATTACTTTATTAACCCCCTTTTCCCGGGATCATTCTCCCAACCCTCCCGATCTCGGAGGACTAAAACGACCGGTCGGTCCTCACGCAGAAGCTATCCTGCACTTTGTTAAACACTGGTGTTATTAAATTTGTAATTAACATTTTGAGAAGTCGCGAATATGCTTAATAAATAATTTATGTATGGTAATGTAAAAAATAATGAGTCTTAATAATCAACTTAAGTGTGCGCTCGGTAAACAATGATAATAATTTAAAATTTTTTCTAAGAAGTATCGCGTATCCACTAAGGACGTAATAATAAAATTAAATAATAGATGATAAAAGAACTGTTGTGTAATTATTATATTAGGTTGAGAAATTAATGCAAAATAACGTTACTATAAATCGACATTATAAATCCATGATGTAACAGATTATTATTAAGTTTGTTCAATGTTTTACTTGTATATTTATTAAATTAAAAAACTTAATCAATGTTGGTAGGTTCTATATTCGAAGGAGAAATGTAGTGCATAGTAACAATTGTAAAAGCGACAACTATTTTGTATGTAGAAGGTGCAATTGACTGTTTTACAGAGATTATTTTTTGATGCCCCAGAATAACCACGTAAAAACTGATCAGAATCCTGATGTAAAATATATGTATATGTGAGTCTCTCCTTGTAAAAAGAATTTTGGAACAAACGTTACAATTGTAGACGCAAATGGTTGAGCATTTGGCGCTCGCGTGTCGCCCCGGTCCTCTAGTATAAGGTTAATCGCACTTTAAAGGGGCGAGATGCGGACGCAAAGTTCAGCTGACCCGAAATGGGTATCGTCGGCGTGTTACCTCCTCACCTGGAAACTGGTGTTGCTTGCCAGATAGGAGGCGGCAGTCTCTTGGGTGCCAGGATGTCGTTCCTAACGCTAATGACGTCGTTGACTCTCACTTAACAAGAGACTACCCTCTAAATGGAGGCTTGCGTCCTGGAAGCGGCCCGGCGGCGCTCACCAAGCCGGTGATTACGAAACTTGAATTCACTTCTGAATTGCATTCGTCGTGTAAGTGCTGTGTACGGTGTCCGTTTTGCGTTCTCGTTACGCTATTCTGTCACGACCGTTAAATCACAAACGGTTAATCAACTATCAAGTCTACATAGTCCGCATTTTTCGTTATCAAGAATAAAATATGCAAATATCATAAGAAACAACGAGCATATTGACGACATTAGAAATTCTCAGTGATATTTCCGTACACAATTGGCGGAGAGACGAAGGAATTATCGGATATCGTTTGTCGTAGCTATTCCGGTATTGATACGTTTGAACAATGTTTAAATAAAATCGACACGCCACCGTTTACCTGTACTATTACGTTTATGTTGAAAATTGATGCCGCGTGTTTTCGCTTTGCAACGTCACGCCATGCTACGCAACGCAACGGAACGCAACAGAACGCAACAAAAGGTACGCGAATTGCCAGCCATTTGTGCCAGGACGAGGCCACGATGGCACATGATGCACAAAGGTGCTAGCTGGGACGACCCAGGTGTAATTTCAATTTAATTGCACGTTATTTCGGGCGTGTATAGGTGTATGCGTATACGCGCGTAAGGTAGGGCAAGAACTTATTAAACACCTTCGGGCTGCACTTCGCTGCCTCACTGACGAGCTCACTCGTTTCACCTTGCCTGGTCTGCGTGTTCTTGCGAGATCAGGAAGGATCATGAAAGCCGAGGATGATGCTCCTTTTAGAGATCTCAATCTTCCCACGGTGGTATATCAGAACTTGATGATGACTGAACAATTAATTCCGTACAGAACTTTTCTCCTCAGGATTTCACTGAACTTTCGAACTTGAATCTTCCATCTGACTTCTCGAAGTTTCATGCAAGTTTTGCAAAATGTGTATATACGTTTATCTACGATAGCGAATTGACCCTTAGAATCATTCTATTAACGATATATAAAGGAAGTGAAGAGGTTATAGAATAATATTACTGTGATCAAAAAATATCCGGATTTTATTTTTTAAACATTGCGGGAAAACTGTAAATCAAATCCGTTTGCCTTGCTAAGTTGGTACACATGTGCTCACTTTATTTTAAATGCGCCTGTGAACGAAATTTCGTTCGTAACGCAAAATTTCAAACAATTTCTTGCTGTGCACAAAAATCTTCACTGACATAAACAACTGTCATTTTCAAACGGCTTGAAGGAACGCCATGATTTTTTTATCAAATGTAAAGGACATGTGTAAACCAACTTAGCAAAGCAAACGGATTTGATTTACAGTTTTCCCGTAATTTAAAAGAGTAGTTTGGGTACTTTTTAATCACAATATAGTATTTTATTTTATTGAAATAACTCAATAGATATTAATGTGACGTAACTACTCTTGGTACAAGTTCCAATTATTGAGTGATTCCAATTATAAGTATAGAAGTTTTTCTACCTATGGAAAAGTAGAAAACTTCTACCTGTATAGACTATACAAAAAGAAGTAATTTACAAAAAACTGAAGAGGGAAATAGGTTCTGGTTATAGAATAGAAAGAGGGATATGGAATATATCAACTTGTACATGATATAACTTTATATGTTGGATACGCATATTTTGTTACCAAATTTAGTTCAATTACGTCACGTGAAAGTCACATTCAAGGTTTTCAGGCTAGACAGAAGTTACAAAATGTATACCGACATACTTTTCAAAATTACGTAAAGAGTATATATATCTGTAAAACTGTCCGCTATTTGCAAAACTGAAATGCAATTTACGACACGTTAAACATTAATGATCAGTGCCCATTAACATCTAAGAAGACTGTGAAGAAGTAAAATAATGATCACCCCGCCAAAATGCAGCGTAAATTATACAAGATATCGTGGTATTCTACAGCCTATTCCATAACCGTCTTCTTCCACCTATATAGCAAATGTTAAGTTGCATACCTTCTTAAAATAGAAGACTTTGGTGCAGAAATAGGTTCACTCTGATTTGGAAAGTCCACCTCATTGAAGAAGAATATGAATTCGTATAATTAAAATAATCTTACAAATGAGATAGGTTGTATTAATTATTACTTGTGAGATCCATTTTCGCTCTCAACCTTTCAGTCGTTGCTTCTGATCGAACTCTTCCGGTAAAGGATTATCGCTCTTCGCGGCTGGCGAAGAACCAGTTCCGCCGATATCTACGACATGCACACTCATACACGCATTTTCTCTCTTGCTCCCCCCCCCCTCTCTCTTTTCTTCTTCTCTCTTTCGTTCTTTCGTCTCTCGTGCATTTCCCTCGCTCGTTTTCCCGGCAAGTGAGACGTCCGCATAAAGGAGAGTTGCCACGAAGGGTCGCGTGCGTCGTTAGAGACCAGTAACGTATCATCATGCGATTACACCGCGCTAAAAACGTGCCACGTCAACGCGTATTAAACGCACACAGCCGCAAGCGATCGCGCACACCGACGCGAAATCATCTATAAAAACGCCTCGTTCGCCAGCAAATTGATTGCGGCCCCGACGGTCCAGAATTTCGCGCGATCTTCGCCGACCATGCCGGATGATGATGCTCTTCGTCATTGATCGTGCTGGCCGCACCTCGAGAGAGAAAATGTTTCGGTCTTGTTAATCCACATCCACGGAGCGTTTATTAAGTCTTGTCAGTACTTTCCCGTTACAGCTAGTGGGTACTTATCGAAAAAACTATAAATTTAAATAATTAAAGGTCAAAATTATTTCCAGTGACAGAGTCAAGAAGAGCATAACTAAAATGATCAACAGTATTCGCACGTAAATAATTTACTCGTTCAGAACTGACGTGATTGGAAATGATCGAATAACTTCTCTTTATTTTAAACCATTAGTAAAAAATTTCAATTGGCGCAGAATCCAAATTTATATGTTGATTGCATCTTAATAATTTTTAAAGTAAAACAATTTTAAAAACTTGGTAATTTGTGTTGAGAACGTTCGAGTATTTTGTGATAATCCAATGATTTATAAATTATATTAAACAAATAGTAATAGTATAATACAAATATATAATATAAATTTCTGATGTTTTAACAAATACCATATAAGCCTAAAAAATATTTGTTTACATATTAGATGCAAGTATAATATTAATTTGATCGATGTGTCGATAATTAGTGCTCGGAGGATGCTTCTACAGTACGCTTTCAATTTGAATCAACTTAATTATACACGACATAAATCGCTGGTGTTGTAAATCGTTAAACGGCTTATTAGCTATTCAGCCGAGTATTAAAGGCACATTTTAAAAAGCAGCGGAGTCGCGACATTGAAAGTAAAAGAATGGATAGACTACGGCGTAAACAGAGTGGAACGCCCGAGAAAACGGTCGCTAATTGGATCACTATCATTGGAATCGCAAACAAGAATCGTGTTTGAGGAAGTATATGTCATTTATTAAATTGGCGGTCAGAAGTAGTGTGTCATTTATTAAAATGACGTCGCGTCGTTAACGTATTTATTGCGTTTAATAATAAAAGATCTAATAAGCAAGGGCGTTATATATGTTAGGCTAAATATTACGAAATCATTGTTTTATTAAATGAATTATCTTAATAAAGTATAGGTGATTTTTATACCGATTTAAAATTTTATAATATTTTAACTGTTTTACAGATCTGACGTAAAAAAAAACTATTTCTTTAACAGCATTTAAAGCTTAAAAAAAGTTAAATTTGCACTGTGGAGTAAAGTGTTTTAATTATATGACGGTGTTCCTTAAATAATAACGTTTGAATTGAGTTTGATTTATTTTAATGACAGACTACAAGATTTCTCAAGAAATCAATTGCTGTTCTTGCTAAATACAGTTATTGAACTTTACGTATTGAACTTTTTTATTAATAGCTTTTTATTACTTAGTTTTTACATGAAATATGTAGAGAAAGAGATAAGCTAATTTAGCGTAACAATAACAACGCGGATCAAAATGCTTCATGAATTATATAGATTTTAAGGATACAAGAATTATATTAACATAAGAAGCTGTATAAAAAAAAGAATAATATAAAATGTAATAAAGTCCAGATTGAAAGAATCTTAAGAGAACAGAGAAAGAGAACACTCTCGAGGTTTCGATATCTGACCTAAATTCAAAACACGATTGACATTATTCCGAAATACAGAAAAATACGGCAACAGCATGGAATATTTTTATCGTGATTGGATATGCATTCGGTAAACAGACGTTTCAGATTTTGTTTGCATTCTTATGAGGAAATAAAGTAAAAAATTTTTTTTTTATTAAAAAGAAGAGTTTACACGAGAACAAGACTGACAGTTTTAAGTGATCTCAAGTTTTAAATTAAGTTACATACTTTTATAATAATAATATACGACAATAATATAAGACGTTCAAATAATTGATAATCTCTATCAAACTTTTTCTTATTGAAAAATCGTCTCTAAAATTTAGAGTAAAATATAAATTTATAAATACAATAATACAAGTGATACAAATATAATTTGTTAAGAAATTTGTCAAAAGTAAAGTTATGAAGGTCCATATGTACGGTATGTACATGACTTTTATAAAATCATTTTTCGAATTCAATACACGGGTAATTTTGTCTAGTCTCCCGTTGCTATAGCCACGAAATGTTAGATAGCGTAATCATAAGTTAGACGATAACCTCCGATAGAATTAATTTGCGTAGCTTGACTTTTTATCGTGCAACGAACGTTGCGAATTGACCTCGGCGAAATCACGTGGATATAACTCGCGCACACGTTTTCTCTCCTTCTTGACGTTCGCACAATTCGGTCGAAAATGTATTTACGCGGTTGCACTCGAGGCCGTCTGTACTGCCTGTAGTCTCGAGCGGCCAGGCACGAGAGTTATTATCGGGCGCGGTTATCAAAGTTGATAGATGATAGCGGGCGGCGGCGCGCTAAATAATTTATGAGGGAACGAGTTAAACAATTTTCACGTCCGGTTTGATCGGCGGATCGCGTCGTCTTAATCTATTTTCGTTGCGTTCGCCTCGCAGCAGAATTGTGCATTTCCTCCTTAACGAGGGAAGCGGCTGTCTCTCGGCGTAATGCACTCGGCGCATAATGAACCTGACACGATGATAATGAGTCGACTAATTTCATGATATGAGCGAGACGCGCTTCGGCTCGGCGATGGATCTTCTGCTCATGATCGGGAGAGAATTTTTACATAATTACATCTTTCCTCCTTTGCATAATTATACAACTTGACGCAATGAGAAACGTCCGAAATTATACATACATCTCTCCTGTCATCCGGTTTTGTAAACAGAAATGAATCAAGTTTTAAAAAACACACATCGAAATACATTTTGTCGCTCCGTATATAATTTACCTCTTGTCTCGTAACGTCGAAATTGTGCGTGTACTTCAAATCGCATTTAATTGGGATTATTAATTACTGCCGCTTCATTCCATTATGAAATTTGGTGCAAGTGAGCGCGGCGATTGGCCCGGCATTGATACGATAAAGGTATTATCGTTCGTGACGATCCCTCAACCTGCCATTGCACCAGAGCGCTTATTATGGATTATAGATTATCAATAATGAGCGAGATCCATCGCGGAGCGGACGAGATGGCCCGCGAATAAATAGCATCTAATTACGCTGATTAATGCCCAACCCCCGCGATTTTTCATCGGCCTCGGCCACTTCAACGACAATCTCGAACCGATTCGCAAACAGTGCCTACCTACCATCGGTCAATCTTAATTGACAAGCTTTTTGAAATAAACGTTGATCGAAATAAAACGCGACATCAATGACTTTTATCTCTCGATCCTGCATTTTATATGTTGACACTTTTAGCCCTTCAGTCGGCCTTTTACTTTAGTCCGCAATATCCGCGTGTCTTTATCGCGCAAAAATGTCGTTCTGCAATTCATAATAAATAACGATTTAATTTCTATATGTGACAAATGGTTTTGCTAAAATATAAAAATTTAGCTAGACACAGATTATATTGGACAATCAAACTGATTGCTAAAATGTCAAAATTGTGTGCAGTATTAGGCTTTTTTATTTCCGTACTGAACTGCTTTTTTTGAATTCCCAAATTATGGAACGTATTCATTTCTGTTTTAAAAACATTCGTAGGAGTTCCAGAAGATTTATATCACAACTTTTATGTCACAACATAGACACACATCGATTCCGAGCTCTTATTCACAAAAGAGAATTTTTTTATAGTCTATAAAGGTTTAAACGAAATCGAAATATTTTTTAGACATTTTGGTTTCATTTGATTAAAACACAGTTGAGAAACTCAATACGCCTTTTTTTCTATCCTGGTTTTTTATTTACGAGAACTAGAACATCACTGCGTCCATCTGGCGGCTACGCCGCATATTACTTGCGAATATGCGATTCTTTTCGAATCTATTACGAATAGAAAAAAAGACTTCTTTCGAAGTAACTTTGATGTCATCCTAGGAAGCCAAAAGATATACTTCCACGATATCCTTTTTGAATTACCGGAAAGAAATTCTTTTTGAGTTAATAACGATCATCTGTATTATTTGGAAAGCCTGAAGTAAAATTTGACACTATAAAAATGTATTTTTTTTTATTGCAACTGTAAATATCCCGTTTGATTTTATATTTATTTAGAAACCATATGAAACGTTTAGTAAAAATACGTGTACAAATATGAAATATTTTACACCGCGAACATAGTCAATATCGAAATTCTGCAATCGCGGAGTTGAAGATTCCCCCACGAAGCGAGATCCTTCGTACTGCAATTGAGCATTTATTTCCATCTCCGTTTTACTCCATATGAGATTAAGATAACCCGTGGGTGGAAGGAGGATTGCTGGCATCGCCTAGTCAATCATAATTCCCGATCTTTTATTCAATTCCGGCCATTAGCATGCATACACGCGGCATGGAACCGCCGATCCTCATCGGAGATATCGCCATCGGGGGATAGCGGATTGTCCTCGTAAAATCACTGGAATTCCATGTTTATTCAATACGCCGGGACGCCGAGATGCCTCGGAGTATGCCAGCGTGCTGCTTATCTCGCGCGTGCCCGGATAGGATGAGAAAGCGATTTTTGGTACGGGTCTCCGTCGTGAATCGCGCGTGGTTATTGCTCCTTGGACGTCTCATCTGGAACCGACGCCATTTTAATCAATACCAAGGGGATTTTGCGCAATATCGGTGGTATCGTCGAATCGTTCTTCTCTGGTTAAATGATGATGAGTTAAACACAACCTTTTTCAATTAACATTTTAATAACTGCTTTGCGTTACATGCAGTTTTTTTTCTCATATTTTATATATTATACATTGATTTTTTTTAAATCATTTTTTTAACTTTAATTATATTTGATCTGTTCGATTAATTTTTTTTCCAACTTTGCATATATTTTTATGTTTGTGTAACTTGTTTCCTTTTTTTCCGTAGCTTACGTGTTTAAGGCCACTTTGTAAGAACGCGATTCACTCGACGCCCGGCGAGATGTTTACCTTGCGCCGCGATTACAAATGGCGCGAAATTAAGATAAATTCGCGATCGTCCGCCATCGACGTCGTCCACCATTTTCGTGTCGCACGAACATAATAATTCCCGTCGAAAGTATACAGTACTTAATTCGATATCGATATCGATCACGCGCGAGATAGGCTGCCGCAAATTATAACGTTCTGCTGGCTGCCCGGATGCAGCGATCCGCCGATCGTTCGCCAAACTCGAACCTTTTGAGAAAAAGGTAAATTATTACTCGCATGATCATAGCTCTCTTGCAATAATTAACAATAACGAGCGATAACAAAGCAGCCTTTCGCTGTTCTTATGTGGAATAAAATAAATTGAGTTTTAAGGCTATCAAATCGACAGTTCGTGACACTCGGCAGTGTTAAGAGTGTCGAGTGAGATTTGCAGAATTTGCAGATTTTTATAGCGATTGTTAACATGATTGAGAGATTAAACTCTCGAGCCGCGAGTATTAAATCCGCCAAATCGACCGTCTCTCTCAAAAGTTCCTTCTCTTTATCTGTAAAATCTACCCCGGCGCGGCGCGGCGATGTGTGCTCACCGAGAGAGCGACTCTGGAATTACGTAGGTACAAACTCGCGTTAAGAATTGTTACGTTGTTAGATTATGTCTAACAATGATGATTGCCGCTATAATCTCTCGTTGTTACTCGCGTCACGCTCGGCTTGACACCACCACGAACAAAAGGACCGGTACGGCTTGCCAAGTGTGCGTGCGCGCGAATTCATCGATTTACATCGGCAAAGTGGCGAGCACGAAAGCGAGTGCCGCGACCGCGCCGGTGCAGCTGCTCGATCGGAGGAGAAGATTGAAGAGGAGTGCACACTTTACTACATGGTTAACTTCATTATCGGAACGCGCGCGTCGGCCGTTACAACTACGGGCCGCATTATTGCTCGGCGGTTAGCGTAACTACTGCATTTGTTTTCGCTGCGAGACATGCACTTACACTATCCCGCCGCGCAGCAACAATAGCGCGCGCCGATTAAGTAATTGCGGGTGTTCAAGCCTATGTCGCCGTTATCGTTTACTCTCTCGGCTCTTCTGTTCCTAGGCGCGCAGCGCAGCGCAGCGCAGCGCAGCGCACCGGACCTTTAGATCCCTAATCTCCGAGGCATCGAATCCCGGGGACCTCTGTTCGTTCAACCTCTTTCTCGGGTCATTACAGTTTCGTTCTTCAGCAGTTTCACAGCATCAAACTTCTTGACTCCTCGGGATACTCCTTGGAGAGTGACTTGAATGCTTCAAGTCCGAAAACTTCAATGTTGATTTATGAAGCTGGAAATTCCTGGATAGCTAACATCCCAGAGACTGCATCGAGTCATCTGAAAAAAATGACTATATTTTTCTAAAGATAATTTTTATAAAAGATAAATCTTTTAGTGAGAAAATGTAGTAGACAAAAAGATTACTAATAGACGATAGATTTTGTTGCTAGTAATCTTAAAGCCTTGTCCATATAATGATTAATTTTGGACATATTTTAGTCGTCTCTAAGATTTTTTACTTTTAACTGTCTTGATAGAAGTCAGAAAGGTAGAGTGATAGAAGTCTCGCGGGATACCCTGTATACATATATATGTACATTATATGTAAGATATCTATACACATAGCCTGTACATAATTATATTTAAGATATTAGTACGCAGCCCCACCACGAGATGGGCGCGCTTCTCGTAAGAAAAAAACGTTCAGGAATCCTATAAGAAAGCGTATGCAAATCGAATTGGCGAATTTTCTTTTGAAGATTTCCATACATTTTCGGAGTGTGCTTCTTGAATCTCTAAATGTATTTAATCACATTTTATAACGTGTGTATTTTAGAATGCGATGCTAACTACATATAATAATATCTTGGCAATAAAACTGGATTAATTATTCGTTTTCAATTTTCATATCACTATGTATAATTATATATACTCGTATATAATTATATATGGACATATTTCATATATAGTTCTGTATAATTATGTATAATCGTTTGTAGGTATATAATTATTATATTTGATTTAAAGCTATATTATTTTTATACCAAGTAACATAATTATATAATAATATAATTGTTTTACCTATTGTGTAAATATGTGTATTTATATAGGAACTCTATGTTTTTTTGGGTTGGCTTATCTTTTTCTGAATACATGTTTTTCTTTTCAGGTTGCGACGGAGAATCAGATGAGGGCGGCAACAAGAGACGAAGAAGCAGGACTAACTTCAACAGTTGGCAGTTGGAAGAATTGGAGCGGGCCTTCCTGTCGAGTCATTATCCTGATGTCTTTATGCGAGAAGCACTGGCTGTGAGACTCGAACTAAAAGAGAGCCGCGTGGCAGTAAGTTTCTTTTTTCAGTCTCTTTTACTTATTTTGTCGTACACATCGCCGTTTCTTCAATCGTATGTAAAAGAAATCAAAATAAGGAAGCTGACGTTAGGAGCCTTTGATTCATAAATAAATGAAAAGTATATATAGATATAAGTTAATTAAAAAATCTTAAACATTTCGATTAATCACTACGTTTCAACACATTCTAGATCGATGCGACTAATTTTATTCAATTCAACCGATTTACTTCGAAATGGAGTGTGAACCTTTAATCAACTTAGGTAGATTAAACTTTAACAAGATTTCCAGTTTAGTTATAAAAGTGCTTAATATATTGTATTTATGTATACGGATGAGAAATAAAATTTCAAAATAATGTCGAATAATAATGTAATTCGAATATGTGATGCAAAAAGAAGATAAGAACGGAGGAGGTTAAGGAGGTAAGTAAAATGAAGAGATGCATCGGTGTCGAAGAAGGGAACGGATGTATGCGCTATTTGCGGGGTCTAACACGCGTGTCTAAGCGAATAAATATAAATATCCGCTTGAAAGACCTAAGGGTAACCGTATGTCCGACCGACCGTGAAATTGGGAGTTCACTCTTCGCGGTCCTGTCGAAGGATTCGGCTGGACTGTATTCGACGAACGCAGGCGTGAACTGTCTGAATACCGGAAGAAGGCCGGCCACATCGAAAAGATTTAATGCCATTTCGCGGAGCCTTAATGACATGTGTCTACACATTGCGATTATAGATTCTTATAAAAGATCTGTGATAAGATCTTGTTTTATACGTTATCCACTTTTACGCTCGATATTCTATGTTATTATACCAAGATTTTATTTCCGTGAAAAATTAATCGTGCGTTTAGAATTTGTTAATTTGTTAGTGTTGCATATTTATAATCAAAATGTGCTTTTTTATATTAAATACTATAAAGACTATTTTAAACGATATATTTCGTGTTATATTTCTGGGTAGAATTATGTTTGTTTCATACGTTGCGTACTTTTACATATCGCTATCTAATTTAAAGAATAACACAACTCAAGAAACGTGAGTTTTGTGTTATTATCATCATGAATGAGTTAGGTGATTATTATCCTATCAATCCTCTAGAGTGTATTAACTTAATGTTATAAAAAAATCGTTAAAGTCATTAAATATGATAGTTTGAAAAGATCGTAATTCAAAAAGACTGATAACAAAGGTGATTTAAAAATTATATATTAAAATTCTCGCAGTTAAAAAAGATGGTCTTTTAAATATTGTGAGATGAAATGACAAAAAATGACATTTGTGATCATGTCAAGAATACATTCTTTTTGCCGATATTATTTGATTAGTCAATAAGTCAAGTGGAAAAATAGTTTTTTCTTATTTCTAGAAAGCTTATTTTTTTTTAGTTGTGCCACTTTTGAAATAAATGTACGATACTACGTGTATTAATTAATTTATGTATACTCTGATTGTTTTCTGTGTTATGTGGTACATAAATTTATAAATAGAGCTTTATCTCGAATTCCGACAGGAATGATAAATCTTCGGAAGTGGATTTAAGTTCTTGGAAATATAAACCTTAAGCATTTGTTATTTGGTATAAATAATTGAAAAATTAAAAAGAAGGAAATTTGGCGAATTTACTCTTACGAAAACATTGAAGAACAATGTCGTCTCTGAAAAAAATCACGTCATACAGTTGGATGACGAAATCGTGTAATTAAACATGTAAATCACGTAACGGATTATTCCAAATCAGTATGTGATTTTAAAATTACGTATTTTGCAAAGTTACATGATGATAATACATTCTTTCTTTTTCTATTTCTGTCATTCAATTCTTTAAAATTCGTTAACTATAATATCACATGATGGAAATTATTTGTAATATCATGTGACTTTTCAAATTATATCATTAAAAAAAATCACGTATTGATTTGGAACAATCTGTTACCTGATTTACACGTTTTAATTACACGATTTCATCATGAAATGTTGTGACCTGATTTTTTTCAGCAGGGATCCTATCGACGCTGATGTTATTTAAATGGACAATCGCTGAACGGATAAATTCGCGTCGATTTTGTACCCTTGAGTAGATCTCCGAAGGTAACGGACCAGATGGACTAACTACCCCCTCGAGACGGAGCTGGTAGGCCAAAGGCCGAACCGAGGCCAGAACCAACCCCTGGTTGTCTGTCGACCCTCGAAAATCTGATCCCGAAGTCATTTTAAATTCGTGTCTATCGCCTCGTCGATCTTTGATAGTCGCCGTACACTGAATAAATCTGCGTGAATATGCCGTGAGTCGGACCAAATTCGAAGCGGTTCAAGGTTTGAGATTAATGTTCTAATGTGTGCGTCGGAGCAAAAAGTGGCAAACAGTATACGTAAGAACGTAAAAGTTCTTCTTCACGACTTTCGTTCTACTTCTGCCTTTCGTTCTACTGCTTCTCTCTATACCTATATTTTATCTCATTATTCATAAATCTTAGATTTTTTCCATTCTTTTGTTATGACTTCTTATTTAGTTTTCATTTCTCTGGTCAGGTTTTGTAGTAGTCGTATATTGCCAATAAAATCTACTAATTAATGGATTCTCAGAATTCAAACAATGAATTATAACTATGGCAAGTGAGAGTAAATAGATATCGCGGTAATCAGTGTGCTGTGATTAAAAATATAAAGTATTTAAAATTTATTATTACACGTATGACGCAAAAATCGATCGGACGTGTTTCGGTTCATTTTCAGCCATCATCAGCCATATCATACTAACAAAAAAGAAATCGTTTAAACACTCATACTCAAATTAGAATAAATTTTTTAAATCTAATTAACGTCTCTTCTAAATCCGTGTTTGAATGGTGCGACTGTTTATTATGATTCTGAATTAGTTTCGAACTAGTGCAATGAGTTAAAGTGAGACAGGTATAATGAAACAAACTATATTTGTCTCACTTTAATTTATTACACCAGTGTACACCAGTTCAGAATTTGGAGTGGGAAAAGAACAAACCTTATGTATTACAGTTCTTAGACTGAATGAACGTATCAACATGCGATCGAAAATAAACACATGAAAAAAAATCGATTATTTTTGGCTCGTATGTCACCTGATGCGTGGTCTACAATGGCAGTAGCAGTAGTGGATGAGACTGTAAGAGTAAGAAACTGACCAATTACAGTCGATTATTCTTCTCACATTCGACTGTGATTAGTCAATTTCTTACTCTGACAGTCTCGTTCACTACTGCTACTGCCATTATACATAGATCGCGCATGAGGTTAAAAAGTTTGCCTGATATAAAAGTTTCACAGTTCATATGAGTAGTACTCAGCAGACCTAGAATTATTTGAACATACGATATTGAGTTTGTAAAACTAAGATTGAAAGCCTCAGAAAACAATTTATAATATTAGCTTGAATGTAATTCACGTAAATACACGTATATACTTAGCAAAGATTTAAAATGGTAAACAGAGCTGTAATTGTGTCTTCAGTGAGTGTTTGATTTTGAAAGAGACGGCGCGGTAATATGTTCGATAGGGACAGATGTACGCATTTGAGTGAGACAGAACGATAATGTAAAAAAATTAAATTTAGTGTTAAAAAGTCTGTATTGATTAAGTTCGGTTGTCGCTCCAGCATCTCCTTAACATATCATGAATGTTAATTTAATGAAAGAATATGCTGTAATAGTTTGCTTACAAACTGTGTCAGTGTTAGTTACATACTTTGTGTTAATTTTTTGCACATATAATATTTGATTATTTGCTAACATATTCATCTTGTATTAAATTAACACAAAATTGGAGTCGACCGTTTAGAAGTAGGTTTAAAATGTGTTAAATTTAACACAAATTGCGTAAAGTCTCAAGTTGTATAACGCATTCAAATTATTATAATTATTAATAGTTTTCTCGATGAAATATATTTGCGAGAGTGTTCATAGATTTGAGTGCGGATCGATAAAGCTTGATCGATTGTCGATCGCGTTTATCTAGTTGTTGCGATATTCTGGAGGAGATGCGTCTGCAGTGGGACATACGTTCACGGGGGTTATCGTACACAGTGATCGATGTTATCTAATCTGAGAGTTATTCCCTGTCGTGGGGAAGCACCATCGAAAGGACGCACCGGCTGTGTGACATCATGTCACATTGTGTCACCGCTCGGCCGGGTTATCGTCTCCGTCATCCTGCCGCTCCAGCAAAATCTGATCCGATCCCTCGTCCATGATCGAAGGAGAGATCCGAGAAGCACTCCGGGATCAATATTTCCCGACGCGGGCGCGGGTATTACGAACGATCTCGCGTTATCGCGGCGTGGTCCCCGTTTCGCGTTTATTACGCGCGCGAAATTCGTATGCGCGAGTCGCAGACCGGTCGTAAATAACATCGGGGACACCATGCGTTTTGATTTATCGTGAAAGAGCTCGTGAGCGCGACAATCGCTATTATCAAGGCGCTATTTGCATCCGACGACGAGCCACGGCTGAAACGGCTGAAACGGCGAGCTTGTAAAATGTTGAACCGATCGCATCTGCCATAGGTGTATCCAGAGGGAGAGTTTAAGGGATTCGAACTTTCTCGAAATTTTTTTATTCACTTTTTAATTTTTAATTATAAGAAATATAACTTTACTTTTGATTCTCCTTATAGACATATTTGACATTGAAAGAAAATGATTAATTATCTATTGTGAGAAAGGCATTGTTATTCCAGTACTTATAATATTCAAAATAAATAATTTCTAGTATTAAATTAGCCAATATTAAATTGGATTTCTGTAAAAGTCTTCTTTATCTTATTTATTATTCCTCCTTTTCTTTTTATTTAATTTTAGTTTATCGCCACTACGTTACCTCTCTACAGAAGATCTGTGAGTTTACTACCTCTATATGGGAGTGTGAATCTGCACACTGTACAGCACATAGGACAATTTTGCAAACGGTCGATATGTAATATATATAAAAATAAATATATTAGTGAAAATAGACTCTTTGAATTAAAAAATAATAGGAATAAATTGGGTAACTGATTGTGAGAGTCAAACGCGATAATTGGAGCACAACTTGTTTATTTTATATATTTTTCTTAATAATAAGACAGTGTATCAAATGTTTCAGCGTCATTCCGAGCCATCTTCAGTGAATAAATGTAAGAATTGTTTCTCAACCTCCAAATGGTGAAGAAATGAGTGTATCGCTCACGCTGGTTGCCAAATTAAATGGCCTAGATTCTACTATGAGGCAATATGTTTATATGAACTTTTTTTTCATGTTTAGTATTGGGAACTTAAGTTCCCGAAGTTTGTTACCTTATTTTAGTTATATTCTGTATTGCAAAATAGGGATATACATCTAGATCAACAAAGCGTGATAATTTCCATATAAAAAAATGCCAACATAAAAGTTTTGAGGGGTGACTATAGTTATCCTTAGTACACAATAAACTCGCTCGGTGACTATAGTCTCTTAAATATGTAGCGAGTGTTCAGCGTTTAGATAACTATTTACAGTTATCGTTAATAACGAAAGAAATAATAATACTTGGCAATGTTTTTCATAAAGGAGGCCTTTCTATGTCTTTTCTGAATTTAAAAAAATTTCTTTTCATAGGAAAATTATCATGAATTTGTATATTTTGTATGTAATAATGATAATATCTACTTTCGAAAGATCAGTATCTTTTAAGTTTATATGAATTTAGTAATTTTTATATAAGCTGGATAAAATGGGAAATTTTCTTTTCATTTTATAAGTTTGTTACGTGCCAAAAAGAAATTTGAGAAAATTTTAGATTTTTTGATATAAAAGCTTAAAATTTTCTCTATAAAATAGGTTTTTTTTAAAATATTCCTAAGATTTTTCGTTACTAATAGTGAGTTATTACGGAATAAATAAAAGAAGCATTTTGACTTTTATTGTTTATAATTCCATTAAAAATAATCGTACTGTAATTAAAAAATAGAGTCTTAAAGTTTTGTTCTATCGAATGGTATAATTGTCAAATTTTTTTAAAGACATAAATGTATACATGAAATGAATGAACTTTTTTGTGCTAACATCATTTTTTTCCATTCAAGATCAGGAATGAGAAGAAGATATTGTAAGCTTGAAAAAAGTATTTGAAAAACATTTCATTAACGTAAAGATTCCTATTTATGTAATACAACAGAATTGATAAGAACTCCCCTCGAAGAAAGTTCTGGATACGCCCATCATATCTGCTAACCGTGACGCGATTATTCTACGATTTTATATGTATATTACGAGTTATTGTTCATAGATTGTTATTATTTGCGATAGTAGCGGGCCTTGGTTTACAAAATCGTTATTTTTTTAATAGACAGAGAGAGAGAGAGAGAGAGAGAGAGAGAGAGAGAGAGAGAGAGAATGCAATTAATTAGAGAATATTTGAAACAATGCGATACAATTATTTGGCTTCCTTCTGGACACATTTACTTGTTGCATTTTTCTAACTCATTTTGTATAAAGTATCGACCGATTAAGTGCTTCCCATTGTGATAAGAACAAGAAGTCCATAAGGCGAAGGGTTAATTACAGTATACAACAATTTAATCGGTCAAATGACAGCGCTTTATCGGCGTGACGCGGAAAACATCGTTTATTAATTGACGGAAACATAATTACATTAGAATGCATTATCTTTCCCGACAAACTCCATATAAACGATTATGGTTATCGACGACGACGTCGTTTCTTCGAGTTTTTGCTGCCATAAAGATACGCTTTATGCATGTCAAGCCAGTTGTGTGCTTACAATGTAAGTATCTCCTCAGCGATGCTCACATGCCGCTGCACAAGGGAAGAAAAACTGTGTTATATAGTCCGACGGAACATGAGATCAGTCTCTCTTAAGATAGAAATAGCTTGTTAAATCGCTATCGGTCGTTGATAATTCCTGACGAATAGCCGCACTAATGTTCGACTCGTATTTCCCATGCACGTATCGTGTTAATGTAATGTGTTACAGCTGTGTGCCTGATTCTGAACTGACATCATTGTGACAAGCAGGACGCTTTGTGAAGTTTGCGGTTAAGTATTTGGAGCTACGGTAGCGATATTCCTCGACGAATTCAGGAACGATTTTTTCTATCAGCGGAAAATTTATTGAACGCCATTTCCATCTACAATTTTGGAATTTTCAATATTGAATCTGTTTTTGAAACAAACGTTTTTTGCTTTTAATTGTGTTTCCAAAATAAAATCTATGGTATTCTTTTTTATTAGATTTTTCTCTTCTAATTGGAAGTAAAGTTACGATAGTCTAATAAAAAAATTTCTTTAATACGCGATGGTATCATGGATTACCGTTTTTCTGCAGATTATGGTATTAAATAATGAAATAAGTAATGAAAATTAGGGCTGCCAGGTTGGAGTTATCGACATAAAATGCAACGGCACCCAGATATTATCGGACTGAAAATTACTTTATTAGCTGTAGTAGGAATTTAACCCTGTAAGAATCGTGCGGCTGAGCTATGTTGGCTGTCGATTAGGTGTATGCACCAAAGATCCTTTACGTTGATTTTTAGGGATATTAAAAAAAAGTGTTAATTGTTTAGAATAAATATATTTATATAATAACAATTAAATTTTATTTTATTTGTACATGTATAGGGTGAGTCATAGTAATGTTTTAAAAGACTTTATAAGAGTATTCCTGGATAAAAAGGAAGAACAAATATTCCTATGAACATTAGGTCGTAAATCCTTTGTTGTCGAAACAATAGACACAAATAGTATGGATACTTATGACCCACCTTATCATATCTTTCAAAACAAGTAAATAATAAAACATAAATATTTACAAAATAATTTGAAGAATGTGATTTTAGCTTAATACATCTCGAATACAGAGATCGACAACACGTAGGTCAGATTTCTAAATATTATTTATTTTTCTGAGGTTAAACACGCAGCAGAGCTCGCGCTGAAAATCGTAAAGCTAGAAAATTAAATAGCGTAAGCGCGTGCGATGGATTCTAAATAGACCCGTCGAAGTAATCGAATTAATTACGATCGCCTGAAGTTTAATCGCGAATAACGAGGACTCGCGGATAGCGACGGGGAGTAGAGACAAACGAGCGCTTTGGGCTCGTTCGGGGGTTCGTAAAGTATCCCGGAGCCGAAGAAAGTTTCGTAAAGCTACGTGACGCGAGAAAGGTGTTTCAGGGAGCCGCGAGGGGATCTATTGATCTTCGGCTCGCGTGAGTTCAGCGCCGCTCGCCGGCCGGGCGGTACAACTAATGTCTTCATCTTTCCCCTCGCAGTCACCCCCTCTGCCGCCCCGAGAGAGAGAGAGAGAGAGAGAGAGGGAGGGAGAGTGAGCCCCTCGCTACCCTTCGGTCGCGTCGTGGCTCACGCTAGCCCTAAATCGTCGTTCATGCCACGAGCGTTCACGCGAGCAAAGGGTTGTCGTCCTCAATGAATCAGGACACCCGAGAGGGTCGTTGGTCCTTCGTTCTGAGACAGGAGCCTTCCTGTAATTTCGGAACTTAATGCATCCGCCCTTCGTGTCGCTTCTGATAGTGCCTTGGCGAAGGCGGTGCTGTGATTTAAGCAGCTCGCAGAGAAATTTCGCGTGGAGGGCGATGGAAGGAAAGATCCGGAGGGGAAGGAATCCGCAAATTTACGCGACGCCGCAAACGCCCGTTACAATTCAAGACCTGCGGGGAACAACGCTTAGCTTTCATCGGTGTCAATTGGCGCGAACTTGTGGCCGATTTAATCTTCTTTCAGTAGAAGCAGATAGGCAATGAGTGGAATCGTGGTCAAAACTGACCAACGTTGGCAAGATTAGATAAAGCTCGTCCCTCGAGTCCACTTTCCTCATAAAGAGACTTAATTTTTAATACACACAGTTATTGACACGTTATAAATATGAACTGAATATTGCAATCTTGGTTGGGATAGTACTTTTCACATAAATTGTTTATAATATTTTAGGATTTACTTGATATCATTATTATTATTATAATGATAGTAAGTACCCTAATCATTAAATTGATAATCAATTTAATTATTATTTCAGCTTCAGTTTATGATTGCATTTCAAATTTAACTGATAGTAATCAATGTGCGGTTTAAATAACTGGAAGATGTGTGTATGTTATATTTGCACGTAAATATTATTAGGCTCCAAGATCTAGTCTCGACTGTATTTGGCTTTCTTTATTTATTTGAATTGTTTTAACTCTAGTTGACCATTGCCATTGCAGGTGTGGTTTCAAAATCGAAGGGCAAAGTGGCGGAAGAAGGAACATACGAAGAAGGGCCCCGGTAGGCCGGCGCATAATGCTCATCCGCAAAGTTGCAGTGGCGAACCAATCCCACCCGAGGAACTAAGACGGAAAGAGCGTGAAAGGCGACAGAAGAAGTTGCTGAAAGCTCTCGAGAGACAACAGCGGAAGCTCGCTGCTAAAGTAAGCCCCAAACTTAAATATCCTCTCTCAATTAAAAAAATTTCAAAGTACTTATGTTACCGTATATTGATACCTTCTCATGAACGCATTAATTTTTTTTTAGAAAAAAAGAATTTTTGACTTTGCTTACTAAAATAATTATACTTTATGGTTACCGAAACTACATATATACTTTTTAAGGGGGAGCTGGAACGACGATAACGGCTTTATATATATATATATTATATATATAGATTAGGAAATTTTTTTACAAAATAAAAATACGCGTAAATAGAAAGTCCGAATATGTCGATTTTACAAGAAAATCGCATAAAAAATGAAAAAATCCACTTTTGGCTCGTATTCTAGAAAGCACAGTTATTTGAAAGATGACTAAAAGATAACTAAATATATCTTTTGAGAGAATATGAGGTCGATAGACCTCATATTCTTACACAACATGTAATTTTACAGTAAAAGTGATTATGCATTACACATACATCTTAGAAACGCCTTTACTTTCTGCAACGTAAACATTTATCGTTTCTGTACGTATAACAGCTTTATTTCTAAATGCCGCGATTGTATCTACGCAAGTTATATAATTAAACAGTAGTTTTGTAATACGGGTTCCTTCATTTTCTTAACTTCAGGGCATAACAGTGGATTTATCGACATTGCGTGCCGAGTGGGAGTCTCGTAGCGAGGCGGCATCGGGTCGCAGTTCTGCGAGCGGTCCTCTGAGCAATTCGTTCGGCCAACTGGGTCTGAGCAATGACAGTAACAACATATCCGCGTCCGGTAACGACGCTAACGAAGAGATCGACGTGGTCGGCGGATTGGACTCCTGTAGCGAGAGTGACAGCGAGCGGGTGGACTCGGCGGCCGACGGGTCCGTGGACGGCGAATGTTTCCCGGCGCTCAACAACATTAACGCGAGCGAGATCAGCGAGCCCCGGAAGAACCCTCCGCAGAATCCGCCGCTGGAGCACCTGAACCACCAACCCGGTATCCACCACTGGGGCTTAAGCTTGCTGGAACGACGACGCGAGCTGGTGGGAATCGGAGCTGGTCGTCCACCGACCGGTAATGGCGCTAGGAATCTAATCAGGCAGGTCGCTAGCGAGGAGGAAGTCCAAAGCGGCAGCATCGATCTCTCGGTAAAGGGTAGGGAGGAGAGGAAGAGGCTGAATCCATTCTCCATCGACAGTCTGCTGGGGAACAATCGGACTAGTGCGGCATCGGATCGCAGGCCGGCGACGCCGACGTCGCCGACGTCTCCCGTTTCATCGGCTTGCACATCGCCATCTACGACGTAGTGAATAGGAGCGTGGAGAGATGCCGAGGTGCGTCGGATTAAAAATTGACGAGCAGAAGAACGCGATCAAAGAGATGGGGTAACTCCTCGTCGAGATTACCACCAGTGACGGTGAAGTGACCATGTCGGATGAATGAAGACTGAAGCGTGCAAAGCGTGCAAAGCGGAACTGGTACTCCCGGTCATGAAATTGCGTGGAAGAACCAGCTACGGTAACATCCCCGTTTCTACCAGAGTTCGCTTTGATTGAAATCGCTAGGTTTATGAATAATCCTCGCGTACTTGTAGACATTCTCACGTCCATCGATGAACGCGCGTCTAGATTCTTCATATCCTGAGATCTTTGAGAGTATGCATATGAATTTGAAGTCGAAGGTAATCGAAGGAAGGAAGAAAAAATTCAAGTATAGGCAAATTGAGTATTAAAGGGATGGAAAAATTCTCAAGTTACAGTCGATCACAAGTACGTGTAAGATCGCAATAAATTACGCATATAATTCTCTTTGGATCTGGAAGGATTTTAGGATCTAAATTTCGCGCTATCGGTACGGACCGGCAAGACTTATATCAGTTTGACATATCGAATGCATGCGTGATCGTTGTAGATCGAGTGCGTTTGATTTTGTCCATTGTGTCTCCTTTCAAAGAACAAATGGAAAAATGTGCAATAAACGCGGGCTTTGGTCGCTCACTAGGCGGCTTGTCCGTTTTGATGTAAGGCAAAAAAGCGAGAAAGAGAAAGAAAGCGAAAAAGAGAGTGTGCATGTGTGGGAATAAAAGAGAAAAAGAGAAGAAGAGAAAACTAGAGAGTGAAAATGGATGTGTGTATATGTGTTGTGTGTTTGTGTGTGTGTTTGTGCATATACTCGTGTATTTAATGTAAATAGTGGGAAGGAGGTCTGTTTTATTTAATTTTTCAGTAGTCGATACCCCAGTGTTCGTCGATCGCGGATATTATTTAAAGCAATAGGGCGGGGGTTCTCAACTTATTATACACTTGCGATCGGTTTGATAAAAATTACCAGAGCGAGCACTCGTAAATGCTTAGAGTTCTAGATAATCAGAGAGGCGACATTGACGGGATGACCTGACGTCTGTCTAAAGTGTATGATTTAATTGATAATCATAGTAAGGAAACAATATTCCAGTGCGCAAGAAATAAATTGGAACATTGCAGCAACATTGCAGTAACGTTGAAATGTTCCAAAATATTTCTTGTTTTAGGATGGCACTTTGATCATATAACTTAGTCAGCCAATCAGTACCCATATTGGGTAACAAAAGGGCCAAGACAACCTAATTTAATTAACTCAACCTGTCACCCTCTAATAATTTACAACTCTAATTAATACCATTTAAATTTCTATAGGGGAGATAGACTGGTCAAATCGAATAACTTTTCTCAACGTTTTATTTGTAGTAACGCAGTGATTAAACAAATACCAACGACATCGATTAAGTTTGACAAAGAGATTAAAGTAAATGAAGATAAAACGAAGATAAAACACTATTGAGGACCTCTGCGATAGGAATTTGTTTGACGTTGTATATAAACTTTAAAGAACCCCTAAACGAGCGTGAATACGTCACAGTTCAAAGATTTGTTCTCCCATCCCCGTAAGCAAGGTTGATCTACGAGCTCGGTTTATGGTTAGGGGTGATTAAGAGTTGCCATACGATGATCCGGGATATGCGAAAAACCAGTACCTATCATATATCCATTAAAAATATATTAATTTATTCTCCCGACCATGCTGGCGTTTAGTCATTGCATCCCTTCGCACGTCGCGTCGTCCCATCCCTCTTCCTTTTTATTTGAAGAAAGCAACGTGGCAGGATACGAAACGGCCAAGGCAGCGTAAGTATAAAATTAAATTAATTTCAGCTTATTATTATTAAGAATTTTTCTTATCAAAAAATATCTTCTTACAAGACATATTTCTTCATGTTTTTTTGGATTAAATGGAATAATTTAGGACAAATCAATCAATTCAGTTGAATTGATTTAACCTAATGAATTAACATAATTATTATCATTAGAATATTAACATAATTAGTATCAAATTAGATCAAGCCTTGTCAACAGTTTTGCTCTGATCGTTGAAATTTATTGTCAGTTGGAAATTAAAACGACAAAATATGACACATCCAATTTTCACTGGGCAAAAGTCAATTCCAAGTTTACCGAAGAATAAATCGCATTTGCAGCACGGATATTTATGTAAATTCACACGAACACGATTTATGCTCGCCACGAGTTCGGGACGATTTCGCTGAAAGTCGAGAGCTTTTGTTCGTTTAACGTCGATGCGAGGGGAAAGAGACCGGTGGAATAATAACGATGTACGACAATGTGGCCGCTGTCGGCGTCGCGTGGCGAACAATGAACCGCGCATAAATCATAGACATAGCGTAACATCGTTTCCGCTGTCATATTGCAATTGCAACGCTATTTATATTCGGCGCTGTTAAAAATATCGCAACCGTCAATTTCTAAGCCTCTCTGAACCAACTTTCCAAATATTTTCAATGATATCCCACGCAATCAGTTACATCGCTCGCTTAAATTTTAAATTCTGTATTTCTGCGAAAAATTGAAAAGATTACAAGATGAAGTACAACATGAATTAATGTTGTTAATTAATTATCATAAACTAGGAATAAATGATGACGATCCAAAAAAATTTTTTTTTTAATTTTTAAGTATTATGTAGCTCTCTCTCTCTCTCTCTCTCTCTCTCTCTCTCTAGTAAGTGCATTATAATAATTATTCGAAATATCAAGAATCAATTTCCTTGAATTCTTAGAAAAGAATGCGCGAGAGAAAATATTTATAAAGTAATTCATTTCTTTAAGTAAACTCGCGATAGTAAGGAGAGAGCGATCGTTACTTCAAAGTGGCATTTCCACTTTAGCGAAAAGAAATCGACGGCCGTCACGAAAACGATGAAAAAGAAAGTAAGAAAGGAAGGAGGGACGAGATGTAGTATATGATAATATGCGTCGCGCGAAGACAATAATGCGCGTCGCCGCTCGCGATTTATGTTACGAGCATTTACGCGAGCGCTCGCAAGCGCTCGCAAGCGACCGGGCGTCTCCACAAAGGGCCATTGTGCGAATGCGATGTGGCGCGGTTAATATTATTAGCCGTCCGCGAGGAGCAGCGCTTAAACGGCCGATGCTTTCTGCCATCGCCATCGCCCTCGCCTGAGGACTCTATTACGGGCCAATCCTCGCGGCACGGCGACTGCCTCCTTTTCCTCGTTCACCGGCCCATTGTCGCCGAGCACGAACGGCATTACGTGCCCCCCCTCGGTCTAGTGGAGCCCTAAGCGGCGCTTCCCGATAGTCGATGATGATCGTAATATCTCGGAACATCCACGGGAAAAACGCGATCCAACATTCCATTACTGTTGGCTGTGTGCGTGAAACTAAATTAAAGAGAGAGAGAGAGAAACTAAAAAATATTTAATCTATATTTCTTACAAAGGAACTAGATTTCTCATATTCCTCGATAAATATGCTGTTGAATGTTATAAGTTTAATTCTTCCTATTTATTCGAATTTTATTTTAGTTTAACAATTTTGTGCTCTATCTCTAAATCTTATAGAATAAAAATAATTATTACATAACCGCTTAAACGGACTATGCTTAATGAGTATCCACAAGAGAGAAAAAATTAATTTTGGAAAAGAAGAAAGAGAATTGGAAGTAAAAATTATAAAAAGATTTTCTGAGAATCAAAGATAACCAGTAATACAAATTTAAGCGTTTTCAGTTTGAAAAATCAATTTACAATTTTAAGAGAAAAGAAAAATAAATTATTAAATTAAATATAAATAATTTTGTAATTTTTTTTACCTGCTAATAATTAAAATAATAATATAAAATAAAGCAAATCCAATAATCCATATCACTCGATTACTGTCTTCGCCAGGATTCAAACTCTAATTTGGTCTCTTCCTTCCTTAAATTCTGGCTACGCCTTTGTGTATTAATATTTTATGCATCAGCTAAACTTTCCTGTTTAGAACTCGGGGCGATTTTCAGATTTGAAATTTTTTAAGTGAGTATAGGAACTCTTGTTTCTTGGCGCAACCCAATGGTACAATTGTGTTCGTTTCTTATGTACACATTCCGATTTTATAAAACGCGTAATGATTCATTCGTGTCATTATATAGATTTCTCTAGCCGTGACAAATTGCATTGATAATGTAACAAAGTCGTTTAAACTCGTTTAATTTTGCTTGCTTTATGCGAGAATTTCAGGCGTTCGTGTTCACTTTAAAAATATGTATACACAAGCATTCTATTATAAATCATATTTTTGCATTTATTCAAAAATTTAATTCTTTTAATTCTTTTATATACATAATTTAAATTTATACATATATATATTTACATATTGCATGTATATATATTATATGTAAACAAATCTAAATTTTAGAATAAATAAAAAAGAATATTTATTAATAAAACGTTTTTTTTTAGTTATAAGACGATTATAACTGAAAAATATTTGCGTTATGAAGACTTAAAACAATTAGGCTCAGTTACTTTTTACCACTGAAATGGATTACGTGCTCGACATTTACATAAGAGAAATCGGGATATCACGATTGCTTAGACAGGTGTCACCTGGCTTGCGTTTGACGATCAGGCGTTCGGAAATCACGTGAAAACGGTGCTGCATAGCGCTCATTAATGTTCCCGCCATGATTTCCGAGGAAATGGGTGTAAATTATTCCAGGATCGCGATTAGAACGTTCGACCGGCCACCTGCCGGATTTCACGCACGGAGATGCTATAGGTATTAATAATCCGAGGATTTACGAGATCCCCGATCGCCGCTCTCCTTCATTAAGAGGACGCCTTCATTGTTGAACGAATAATGTGTATCGCTGGCTCTGCCTAACTGATCGTAATGTACGAGAAGGAGAAAGAAAGAAAGAGACGAACGAGACTGCCTCCTGTTCTTTCCTATCCTGGACCTTTTATTTACTACTATCTTCAAATGGTCTTTTCTCTCCGCAACTCAATGCCTCTTGTCGAGAAGAACTATCATATTTTATCAAAGTTTCGCCACTGTTGGATTCTGCGCGAATCCATATGAATTCTCCTTTTCAGATCCTCGTATTTCCTGAATACTTTGGTATCTTCAAGGTATGGATTTGCTCAATTCGAGAGCCTCCTTATTGCTGACACAACTCAAAATTAAAGAGAGAGGAAGATTCGGTGATTTGTTTTGTCTCATTCTGAATTCATGGAAAAAAAAAAATGACCGGATGGGAATACGACTGGGCCCCTCCCGCCGAGGTGTAACTCGATCAAGTTCGATAGATCAGGCGGCAGATTCCTTGCCGGTTATTACAAGGGGTCGGAGGTTGATCGCTCGCATAAACCATTTAACTCTGATCACCTATCGATACCGATATTTCTCAGAGGTATCGGCTATCTTTCCGCTCGATCTTCGTCC